CTGCCATACAATGACATGATTGCGATCAGCCGACTGGGCACCCTGACTAGCCGCAGTTGCCGGTGACGTGGAGTCTGACCGGAAGTCGACGTAACCGCCACCGACACTCATGACAAACGTGACGGAGGCGCTGGACACACGCTTGGGTGTACTAGCGCCGTCCGTCACTACCTTCACCGTTCTTGTTGCCATGACACCTGGCGTAGCAACAAGCACGTCGACGTTGTGAATGTGCCCGTGAAACGACAGGCGAGATGCGTCCAGCGACAGGTACGGAATGCTGGGGAAACCTGGGGAGAGAATTCACGCAACATAAAGCACTATCAGCACGGGTAGGATGGTCCTGCGCAGTCCTAGCTGTTACGCAGCCAAGTATCAGGTCGCTAGGGGCAACTATACAGTGGAGCGTGAAGTTTAAAAGTGCACCTGTTAAACCGACGTATTCTACCCGTTTTTATATGGGTCAAACTCTAAAGGGTTAAAGCCAAAATTGTGCTTTCAAAAGCCAGCAGGGCAATTCTACCCGTGAATGGAATGTACAAGGAGAGCAAGGCGGAATGCGAAGCATGGTGACTTACTCAACATGCTGGTACCATCAGCAACAGCAACTGCCATGCTGCTATCATCCGCACCTGTTGCCATCACATCTTCACCAACGATTGAGTAGCTGTTCAGCAGAGACTGCCGTACACGGAGACACATACCAAAGACAACACGCAAATGGCAGTGTTAGTACGTAGAGTATACACGTACCAACACACCGCGGGGCTTCCCTATCTTTATGGTGACAGTCAGATTGGAAACAGGGGAGTGGGGGTGGGGTAAAGATACAATGGGACCAGCACTGTCAGTCATTTGTTCTATATCGATAAGAATTCGAACAGAGACCGGAATCCCTGACAAGCTATCAATAGCTCACCGCGCTGACATCCGTTCCTCGTGGCGTCTCATGCCCTTCCACAGGTCTCTCGCTGGTCAGTGGCATAGATATGATGGTACCATTGGACGCACCAATCCACAAGCAATTGTTGCTGATCAGTAGAGTGGAGATGCGCACGAGATTACGTGGCGATGGCTTGCGTTTGCTGCCCGGGAATGTCAGCAGTGTCTGAATTGGCTTGGCCACATCAACATCCTGGACAACACGGAGAAGAAAACAAAAGCAATGAGCACCATTGGACGCCCATCGCCGGAGGCGATGATAGCGATGCTACAGCAGAAGCCATAGCAGCTTGTGCTGGGATTGCACCATTCAACAGCTTGCAAGGCTGAAGAATTGACCGCCACTATTCAGCCTGGTCTACACCACACAGCTATGAAGTGGCTTTTTCTGGCCAGTGAATCCCTAGTTTTGGGGTGTACACACACATACACACACACACACACACACACACACACACACACACACACACACACACACACACACACACACACACACACACACACACACACACACACACATACACACGCACACACACACACAAACACACATGCGCACACGCACACACACACACATACGCACAAACACACACACACACACACACACACCACCACCACCACCACCCCCCCCCCCCCCCACACACACACGCCCCCGCACACATACACATGCACGCACACGCACACACACACACACACGCACACATGTACACGTACACACAGCATGTGCACACAACATACCTGTAGATTCTGGAAGGTGTCGGCGTGAAACAAGCGCAGCGTGCTGTCCAGACGCACGCTCACCCAGACACCATCGCCACTGGTAACAAGACTCAACACACGGCTTCGTAAGCTGGGATGCACTTTAAAGTGGGTCTAAACAGTAGCAGAGAGACATACAAACAGCCGGTATGTCCACAACTTTCACTATCACCAGCGCCATGATTTAGGCAACTAAGGCGTCACCTCTCTTTTTCACACACTATATAGAGGGCCAACCAATGGTCTCATGAAAATCATCAGATCAACTTTGTACGCTACTAGTACTAGCATAATTCTGTACGTCCATCGACTTCATACATGTAAGTCACGTTGAGAACACAGCCATTCCCTTTCAGTGCAGGTTAGAAGTACAGTGTGCATGCATTATGATTATGTACCTCGGCACTACTTGGAAGCATACGTACACCATCAGTGCATCACACAACCCAGCTCACCTCAACCTGGCTTGTTCTGGCATCGACCACGTAGACCTTATTGGCGACGCCGCACCACACACGATGCTTGACTGGTACCATGACCGATATCGGCACGTCCCGGTCCTTACCCAGGTACGTGACCTTGTAGCCTTCCCAGTCCCACTCGTTGTCAGTGCGTGAGAATATTGCCAGGCTGCTGTTAGCCATTGCCACAAACACCTTGCCCTCGGCATAGACGATGCTCAACACCGATGCTTCCACCTGGAAGTGGAAACGCAACGAGAACATGTGTGAGCACATCACTGTGTTCTTGTACCCTGACACGTACAATTTGCTTTGGACCTCTACCTGGGTGAAATGTTGCCGGTAGACCTCTTGAATAGAGAGGAAGCTGCTCACAATATCTTCAAAACGATACAGTCTATATTGCAAAAAAAAAAAAACCGGTTTCATTCTTGGATGATACCCAGCAAGCGATTCAATCCTTACCTTCATGGCATGCAGGCAGCTTCTCCAGCAGGACACGGCTGAGTGGATGTAAAGGCAGCCAAACTCAGCGCCCATCCACATTGTAGGCAGGCGCAGGCGTGGTCGTGCCATTGCCTCGCCGCTTAGGCTATTGCTGTGGTCTCGTCTGGTGGTTGGTTTCGGACTGTCCTGAAACGCTTCTGTACAAGTGTGCAGCATGTCACAACACAAGCACAGTGTATGCTCAGCAAACAACCAGCAGGACTGATGGGATCTAATTAAGCAGAACATTTTTTTTATCACTTGACAAGAAAGACGAGAATTGAAACAGGCATGTAAGAACTGGTATGGGAATTGTATTCCACGGCCAAATGTTGTTATCACAGGAGTGTGATTTCCACATGCACCAAATATATCTCATGTTTTTTTGTTGCTGTTTCGGACAATGTGACAGGTATGTGCTGTGTGCTGTGTGCCCATGCTCAGCATACAAGCTCGTAACATACACGTCATCGGTCTGTGTATGCTACTGTTGTTTATGCATGTTTGTTTGATAATGTCAGCTGATCTTTCACGTGATCTCTTACTCTTAGTTTTGTGCGCGCTTACTGATGTGCAAGCGCATAGGCACTGTTTCGTATGCTGTTTGAAGCCTGTTTCATATGCTGTTTAGGTTCTGGACTCTCAAATTTTGACTTTGCAGGAACAAGAACGAAATCTTTCATCAAAACTGTCTTGTCTTCCTCACCCCTGAGAGAGATCACCTTCTCCTGTGGACTGTTCCTGTGCGTGACGGGGCCCGCAGCAGACTTGCCCGACTTGCCCTTCCCCTTCGCCTCCGTGAAGTGTTCCGGGGAAATCTGCAGAGGCGGCGATTGCTGGGGACTACGATAGCGATACTGGTCGAGTTCAGTGGGTGTGAGTACGCTGCTATCCTCGGTAGCACTGGCTATGTGGATAATGTTTTCTGCAGAAGAGAACACAATGACATCACAAATAATCCCTAAAACATTTGATGATGTCATAACTGCAGTACACAAGTACACAGTAGAGTATGGTCTACAGCCGTAGAGAACTGCATGTTTTACACTGATCATGAATGCAGCGCTACATTATCTCCATGGTCGTCTCGCCGGTCCGTAGCAGGGTCAAATGTTTTATCGCTTGTGGCTGAAAAGTCGCCATGCCATTGGCTGCTTCTTCTCGTACTGCATCATCTCCTCCATATCAAATAAGGACATGAGAGAACACAATTAGCCACCCACATCATGTGCAATTACCAGGCATTGTTGGTTTCCCGTATTATTGTGCACTCTGCTTAGACGTCCTCGTTGTGCAGGACTCAAAGAACAGGCCTCAGATATACATGCACTACTGGTACTTACAGTCCATTCACCAAACCTGGGCCCATAGGTTTTACACAGTCTTCATTACTATTCAAGATCGTGAAGCCGATGACTTATATAGGTCAGAAATATGCTTCATCTCCAAACACTCGAAGGGGAGGACGTACTAGTCAAACTTACTTTGACTGCAACATATCGCAACGTAATACGGTACCTCTACTTCGCCTACTCCCTGCTGTTGAGTGTATGAGTTTTGCAAACAGTGTTATCTGCACGAGTTGGGCATGGCTGAAGAGTTTGATCAGATGTTGGCAATTTTGCTCTTTGCCTATGACAAAGGTCTACTGGATAAGGATAAGTTGCTTTTGCTAATCCTTGCGTTGAAGGATGATTGCCAGTTGAACATCCAAAGGAGGAGACTCCCTCCACGTCTTTGCATACGATCTCTGCCAGATGACGCTTGTATGCTCCGATTTAGATTTGTCAAGGCGGAATTACACGAATTGTGCGATGCTTTGCGTATGCCTCAGACTTTGAGAGGCGTCAATAGGATCACGTGGACAGGGATGGATGGTCTACTGGTAGTGTTGAGGCGATTGGCATTTCCTTGCCGATTAGTAGATCTTGCTGAGGAGTTTGGGCGGCACGAAGAAGATATCAGTCGAATGTTTAATATGACACTGCTATGGATATGCAACCGGTGGGGTCACGTGATCGAAAACCCTTTTGACCAAGGATGCCTCATCCCAGCTACATTACAGTCCTACAGTGACGCTATCCAACGGAAAAGTGGTGTACATATGCTCATCTGGGGATCCATTGACGGTACAGTCCGCCAAATGTGCTGTCCCGGGCATAATCAACGCATATTTTACAACGGGCACAAGCGTGTTCACGGACTAAATTCCAAGCAGTGACCACACCTGATGGACTAATCACATATCTATTTGGCCCTGTAGAAGGCCGCCGTCATGACGCAGGAGTCTTAGCGGAAAGCCATCTCCTGGAGAGACTTCAAAACAACATGCGCCTTCCCGATGGCCGGTGCTACGCACTGTACGGTGATCCAGCATATCCTTTCAGCTATTTTATCCAGAAGGGGTATCTTGGTGGGAAAGTAACTCCACAACAATGTGAGTTCAACACGGTCATGAATTCCGCGCGTCAAACGGTGGAGTAGGCATTTGGTGAAGTGAGCACCTACTGGGCGCTAATCAACAACTACAAGCAGCTGAAGCTTAGACTACAGCCCATCGCTGTATATTACAAAGTTGCTGCTTTGCTTTGCAATTGCAGAACTATCATTCGCCGAGGCAACAAGACGTCAGCGTACTTTGAACTGCAACCACCTGAACTCGCCCAGTAACTACGGTCACAATTTATTTCGGAATTTCATGGGCTATAGCAGGTTGATTTCAATTGTTTCAACCTCCAATTACTTGGAGTACAATTTCTCATGCATGTTATACATGCACCTTCTCACCTCACCACTTTCTACTTACCTCTCAACGTTTTTGTAATTTTGGCATGATAACGTGCAGAAAGTTTAACAATGGCTACCTGGCCACCCAGAACATGCATCGATGCATGCACATCTTTACACAGACATCTCAAACCGGGTTCGGGATAACGTTTCTTCAAATAACGAAAAAAATTGGGCGTTAAAACGTTAGACTTTGTGACTCGTTAGACTTTCCGGTTTTACAGTGAGTTACATGTAGTACTAACCATCATCAACCACTCCTGGAACGGACGCAATACACAGAATAGGCGATGAGCACACTGGGAACGAGTCGATCACTTCACCGGGCATGTTAGCGTCGAGCACGTTGACACGCGACAGCTCACTGGTACCCGTGCACACCCACATGAGGCTGGAGGGGCACACGGTGTCGCTGGGGTGCAGCGACGGGTTGGACTGCACCGTGCTGCAGACGGCCGCTGCGCACCACGTGCGCGTGGTGCTGAATGATGTCATCTGATCTTGCTGCAGATTGGCAAAGACGGTTGGGGCAGTGGTCATGACGGTGGCATAACAGGGTTAACATCACACACAGCACAGAAATACACGAGAACGATTGATACGGTCATGAAATATCTAGGAGGGGTTCCCTGGGGAATGGCCTGTTCATTCCACTGACCCAGTACTGTACATTTTATAAACTAGAGCCGCAGAGCTGTGACAATGCTGCATCCAGGGAGTACTAAAAACGGCTGCATCCCATGGGCAAAGCCATGACACTTTAAACTCCAGCACGTTACCCGTGAGCCGTCAGTCGCTCTCACTAGTCACTGGGCAACATAGAACATGGGTTGCAGCAGAATTCCCCCAGTCCTTGTGGGATCGCGGGCGAGGCCAAGAGGCCAACACCGGCATGCAAAGCACTGAGATAAGCACGTCGACACAGCACTGACATGTATGACGGCAAGCAGCATAAGCCGGATTTATAAAGTAACGGGAATGGCCAATCACTATCTGGGAAGTTCTGGGAACACTCTAAGGGTGCGTTCAAATTGTCACTCTTTGACTTTTCGAGGAGCTTCGTTTTCCTGAAGAGGTGGCCTTATTGGCCTCTTCAGAAAAACGAAGCTCCTCGAAACTCCTCGAAACTCATCCGATGGGAAGGTGGATTAGTTTCGAAGAGTTTGGAATAGCTACGTTACGTAGTACGTGGAGATGGTCGATCTGATCGGATGCCATCATCGCCATGACAATTCCACTGAAAAACTCTACAATGATAGAATCCGTTCTAATGGGACACTTCAACTGATCTCTTTATAAAATTTGTTAGAACAGTTGATGAAGACAATTCGAACGCGCCCTAAAATTCCTCCAAAAATCCTGAGAAGCCAGGTTATGTGTTAAGATCTACATGTACATGTACAAGTACTGGAGACGGGAGCAGTTTGTATCCTTTAGACTTCAATGCAGCCCGTTCATAATTTAGAAATGACCTTGCAGACGACTCTACTAATTGAGCAACGCCCAATACGGAATACAGAGATGCACCTGGCTAACAGATCACTCTACAAGTGTTGACTGTTGAGTGTCCATGATCATTCTGGTTTTAAAGACAGCTACATTGTAGTGACAGGCTGGCACCATGGATGGTAGCTGAAGCCACGCTGCACCTGGATTGGCAGTAGGCACTCAGTTACAACGCATGTGAGTACAACTAGCAAAGTTTGACACCAGGAACGCACTGTTCAGCACCCCAGACAAGTACCGTATTTCCCCGTAAGTAAGTTCTCCCCAATGACTTAGTACCCCCCTATAAAAAATACACTTTCCACTGCCGAGGTTATCACCCCGAGAGACAATTCCCCCCGAAAGATAGTAAGTTTGTACCCGTCCTACATGTAGAGACACCGTACAGTACATACTAGTACATCATATGCACGGACACTAGAGTTGCGCAGGCTTCCCACTGCGTGTCATTTACCCCGAAAGATAGTACTCATGTGGCTGCTAAGTTCGAAAGTTAGTACGTACTAACTTACGGGGAAATACAAGTAATTAGTTACAATATAATGACGAGCCTGGCTTATCATGAACACAAGACTCTGTCCTCCATACGATGGATTACGGAAAACCCCAATGTCTCCTTAGTTCGTACAGGGGTAGTTGGTTTTGAACATGGAAGGAGCGATTACGGCAATTGGCTGAAGTGGCAGTAGATGAGAAAAGGAAGAGAGAAAAAGAAACAGAGAGATGGAGATAGAGATAGATAGAGAGAGACGAAGAGAGAGAGAGAGTGTGTTTGTGGATGGCACATACAATGAATACTGGCTGTCTTACAGGCTCGGTGACCAGGTGGCCGCAGTGCATCAAAACGGGCACAGTGTCCAGGCGATTGAACTCGCCCGCCTTAGCTTTAGGAAGCGCACTAGCAACAGAGGACTGCAGGCTATGGGGTGCCATGGCTTCCGGCAAGCTCCAGCCGTACGCCTCAAAGCGACGTCCGACTTGACAGAGGGTGGCAGTGATGGTGGACAGACAGCATGACATGGCAGAGAGGTGGCAGGAACAACGTGACGATAGGCGAGCACACATTGTCCAGCACAAGGCAAGAGCACACACAGAGAATGGCAAGACAGCAGTGACAGTTAGAGCACAAACAGAAACAACTGACACACTGAGAGCAAAGTAAGTTGAGCAGATCTTCATTTTTCCCCGCCGTCAAGCGCACCATATCGAATGCATTCGTAGCCAATAAAAGAACAAAGATAATCCGAATGTGTATACGAGACATTCACACTCACAAACACAATTCAAAAACGAATAAAATGGTAAAAATATTCTAGGAGAGTCAAAACAGACACTTGGTGGCATAGAGTAAGCTGGATACGGGTATTAATGACATCTTGGAGTAGCCTAAGACTGGATAGCATCGCCAGACGGAGCACAGAGGCGCACGGGCACAGGCTCGGTAAGAAAGCAATGAGTAATGTTAGACAAGTGAAGTAAAACACAGATAAATATCAAGCCAGCACTGCACAGAAACACCCTGAGAGAGGGAGGGAGCAGTGGATACGTACTATTACTACAATTCCTAAACGCACACATCATGCATATACACACACACACCATGTACACACACACACCATGTACACACACACACCATGTACACACACACACACACACACACACACACACACACACACACACACACACACACACACACACACACACACACACACACACCATGTACACACACACACACACACACACACACACACACACACACACACACACACGCACACACACACACAGGTGCGTCCGTGCACACGCACACACAGGTGCGTCCGTGCACACGCACCCACGCGCACGCAAAGAATATAACTACAGAAAGCAGCCATGAAAGAGTATTGTACAGGTGTTGGCATCAGGATGAAAGCGTCGAGATAAAGCCAAATCGTAAAAAAAAGTTGAAAAGAATAAAAGCGTAAAACAAAGTGGCATGAGCCGTCTATCAGTCGCCAATGCACATGGGGGATAGAGCTACGATTGACTCAAACTTGTTGATAGGTGTCTGGTCAAACAATGAAATAGAGGAGACAACGCGTGTTAATTCAGAGAACTTACCGAGTGTCAGAGCCCCTGGCACACTGCTTGTTGACGGCGTGCTGGAAACGGGCTCGTCATCTGTTGTCTTGAGTGGCGTGAACTTGCCCACAGAGCCACGCGGTGTTGGTGCCGACTTTGCCTTTCCCTTGAACATGTCAGAAAACATCTTCCACAGTGTCTTCTCCTTCTTCTTCGACGAGGGCTCTTCCTGCTGCTGCTGAAGCTGCTGCTGAAGGATCTGAAGTCGCTCCTTCAGCGACAGGTAGCGCTCCTTGAACTCGTTCCGCTCCCTCAGCAGGCGCGACATCTCCACGCGAGAGTACTGTCGCTTCTGTGCCACTGTCCAGTTTTCCTCATCCTTGGCACCGGGGAACAAAGGCTCCTGATGCACAAAATCAAACAAACACATCAGCTGGCATAACAATCAAAATGGACAGTCTACTGCATATGCTACTCGACAAAAGACACCTGCCGACATTAATACACCAGGAAAGGGGGTTTCCCCGGCATGACTGGTCATGAACAGTCCGCTACCATGCAAACCAGAAATTAACTTTTCCTTTAGCAAGAAGCAATATGCAAACGTAGATGAAACTAACAAAATGCTCATTGGAAATGTGAACATTACAAAGCAAACATTTCGCCAGGCCCTTCCTTCAATACAGTCAAGTCCCCACGGGGCAGGTGCACTGCACTACACATTTACCTGATTGGCTTGCTCCTCGCGCTCAAGTTCCTCCAGTCGGTCAGTTCGTTCCTGCAGGTCGGCCTCCAACACCCGCAGTTTGGTCTGCATCTCGCTGCGTTCCTGTTGTGACGACTCAGCTCGACTCTGCAGCATGGGAAGAGGACCAGCATCCATCATTTAAAAGATACAAACACACCGGTGATTGAATCATGGAAAAAAGAAAATACACAAATCCTAAGGAAAAATCACCTCGAGACTGATGACGAATTGAGACCAAGAAAACGGATGATATGTACAATTTACAACCAAAATCTCTTGGCACATAATTCATGGACAACAGCAAAATGTGTGGTTTTTGCAAGGGACATCCTAAGGGCCTGGTCAGACTGCGGCAACTTTTGGTTGCCTGACGAAAAAAGAACAGCGTCCAGAATTTGAATCGCGATCACACTACACATGTGGGGAGAATGAAAATTCAAACTTCATTTCGAGCGTCAAGTGGTAATCTCCACGAACGACGTCAAATTCCTTCACCTTGGGATCGCCAACACCTTCAGTGCAATCCTTGCAACCATCCATATGAGTTTTGTTGTTGTCCGTGGCCAATTAGCTCCTCGATATCGAGATGAAAAAATCAGTGATTATCAGCGTCAATGGCGTATCAGCGTCAAATCCTGTTTGGAGCGGAAAAGCGTGGCCCGTTCTTGCTTTTTTTTTGGAGCGTCAACTCTCGCTTTTGCCGCTCTGGCGGCAAGTAACTATGGAGATTCGGATTATAATCGTAGGATTATTTCGATTTTGCCGCAGTCTGACCAGGCCCTAAGCGATTTACAAACCTGAGCCAGACTTCGCAGACACAATGTCTAGCAATCGCAATATCAGCCAGAAAACTGGACAGCGCTGGACTGAAGAACACCAGCTCTAAGTCTGCAGTGCTTAAGCCTAGCGAAAACGCTCCTTTCACTAAAATTGTTAAAAAACGGATTACAGTATACTCTTCTACTTGCAGTTCTTGGTCGGAGCTTGCATGCAGAGCATGGTTAAAGGAATGGCTCACCTGTAAGAGTCTCCGTTCCTGTAATAGTTGCTCCAACTGACTAGCCATCTCTTCTTTCTCACGCTTGAGCTGGTCCGAAGCTTGCTCAAGATGGCGCACTTCGCCCAGGAGACGCTCAATCTCCAGATCGTCGGCACCAATGTCCAACACCACACTCTCTTGTGATGATACATCGTCCGTGTCGGAAACAATGGCCATCTCCTGAAGGTTCACAGACCCGGCTACAGTCCGAATCAAGAATGGAGAGAGAGAGAGAGAGAGAGAGAGAGAGAGAGATTGGAGGGTTGGTGAGAGGGTAAAGAAAAGCAAACATTTGTCATTAGGGATAACAGGCACCAGTTATAAATTTACTGCTGTGTTCCAGAGGACAATACGGTACTGTAGCCTGTAAGAGTTGAAAGAATGACCGGTCTTTTAGTTTAACGATTTGCAATTCTTTCCCACATAGCGAGCACAAGTTTACTGACCTTGCCATCACACACCCATCTTTTATTCCTCTATAGTAGAGAGAGGAATAGCACCCCATGGTTTAAGATAGCGATGAATTTCTCCCGTTAAAAAAGGCTAAACTCCGTGCCCCGTTACAGGTTCTACTTTTGAAGTATCTGAAAATGAAACACTCTACTCTTGCAGTGTGAGTTCATGACTTTGTTTCCAACAAAAACACTGTCAAAACAACTCACTCTGAAATCTGAAATATTCCTGGTGTTGGCATGCCGTATCTCCAAATTCACAGGATTGTATTCACGCACAGAAAGTTAGGCAGCACGTGCATACATGAGGTCACACAAAACATTTCAATAGCGCTGACAACACCACAGGATACGTACTACGAGAGACATCGCTCCTCAATGACAGCATTTCCTCCATGACTTCCCGCTGCGGTAAGTGATCTGAAGAGACGATTGATTGTCTATCGCCCTCGCTGGTCACGTCTCTCTCCGATGAGACTTCGGCTTCTTGTACGGGCACTGCTGTGGGCGACGGCAGCTCCGTTTTCTCTTCCACTGATACAGGAGAGTGGTCGGGTTCAACTGCTGATTCCTGGACATCACCCTCATTGTCTTCAGGTGAGGCCTGCTCTCTCTCTTCCTCTTCAATTGCTTCCTGCACCTCCACCTCCTCCAAACTTTTGCTGGCTTGCATCAATTCCACGTCGAGACTCTCACCCATATTCGACAATGGCTACGCACGCAAACACACCGCATACAAGAGAGGTCGTGAGACCGTAAACAACAGAATCAATGTACAGCTAGGTAGAGTGAAGCCCAATAAAGCGGAAAGCATGCAGGAAAAAGTCTCTCCCCTGAGCAGGTTCCACTGAAGAGGCAACAGAAAGAAAAAGGTTTCAAGCAGCCACATTTGCTGGTCTAGACATGTACAGTGTAAGGTCAAATGACTGGAAGGGTATACGTAGGGTCCTCAAAATAGTACTTACATCCAATGCAAAGAGTACAGTATGTTATACTGGTATCCAAGGTACTTTATACTTCCTTGTCCAATACTGTACTACTATGCAGCACACTCACAACTCTGCCTGTTCACTGCAAATCAACTCAAAGCGTCTTGTCAAGGCAAAGTACTGCCTGGAATATTCATGTCAAAAGAGCACACCCTTGCGGGGTACATGTACTACAGCAAGTAAACCAGCATGGCTGTGCTCACCTCATCCTCTGCCGCTCCGCTACTTGTAACGGATAACGTTGCCATATCCTCCTTGTCCCGCTCTGCGACAGTATCATCTACGCCTTTGTCTGGTGAGGGACTATGCACTTCTTGCAACGTGCCTTCAGACGTGTGTGCCGCTAGGCTGTCCTCTGCAGGTTCAGGGGACTCCTCGCTCACCCCTTGCAGCTCCTCAGTGATGTTGCCTGATGTTTCGGTGGCGAGCAATGGTACAGGGATGGGAGAAATCACACTGCGAAGAGGATGAGGGTCAGAGTCGGACGACATAGGGCTCGATGCCACTGTACACGAGCCACAAGTTGAATGCACCCGCAGGAAAAAAAAACAGCGATAAGACAACACTTTCGGATACACACCAGCAGAATACAACACTGTCACTCATCCCCTACAAAACAGTTCACAATTCCGCATGCATCATTCTCAACACATTTCCACAATGAAACTGCCGGGAGTACACATTGTAGTAACAAAACAAAACAAACAACGGAACAGGGGTGGGGAATGATACCTATCCTGACGATACCCTGAGGTTTTCCTACGATGAAACATGCTACCAACAGCTCAGAACCTTTGGCATGCAATACAAGATGCCATACATGGCACACACACAAGCAAGCAAGAGTGTTGGTAAAGCATGCGTATTCATTCCATTCCCTCCTTTCCTTGTACAGCGTTTGAGTTGGTTCACCCAGCACTGTTACAACTGAATGCAGCGCTGCCTACTCAGTACTTACTGTGCGGCTGGAAGTCCATGAGTTCATCAGCGACATGATGATGACGGCTAGTCGCGGACATGACTCCACCGCCATGCTCCACACTGGACATAGGCGTTGGCATGCCCTCGGAGCGGGTTGCAATCTCGAATGGCGTCACTTCCACCACGTGTGCCGGATCCATCAGATTGCTGGCTGGAGAGTCTAGAAGAAGACCACCGGACACCACACCAAATACACCATGTATAACACAAGACTACCATCAACACCTGGAGCAGCAGGAGCACCAGCGGCAAAAGCAGTATAATCCAAAATCCATAACAACAACTAAAAAAACTGTTTCTTAACAAAAAGGCTCTTAGCTGCACTGAATAATGACGAAGTTGCCAATATTTCGCCCAGTGGTCATCATCAGTGCACTAATGAGGAATGGGAGGCAAAACACGAAGTAATACATGTAAATACAAATAATGTAGCCAGATGAGTGTTCAGAATTCACAAACTACATGTAGTATCCCGGTCACACAATTGGCAAGAAAACTAAGCAAGTCTTGACTTGTAAGGTGACCAAAAAAAAGACAAAAGAAGAGAAAAATATCATAGCACAGTCACGAGCAGTACCAAGTTTGGAAATGCCAAAGGCTTTAAAAAAAGGTGATGTGTGTGTGTGTGTATGTGATAAGTGCATGTGCAAAGCGTGTGTATGAGCTGTGTCAGGTGGTAAAGTCCAGTGGTAATTCGAGGAGGTACGTGCCGAGATTACAAGTCAATTTGAATAATAATAGGTGGCGCCTAAAAATAAGTTTCACTGGATCGTCACCCGATATCGACACCCATCTCCTCAAATTACCCCAGGACTTTACCACCTGACACAGCCAATACTCACACTTTGCAAGTGTACTAATCACATGCACACGCATCGCCTTTAGCATTCCCAAACATGATACTGTTGTTGAATGTGCTGTGATCGTTTTCTCTTCTTTTGCTCTGTGTTTTCTTCTTTTCGGTCACCTTATAAGTGAAGACTTCTTCAGTGTTCTTGACAACTGTGTCACCGAGATGTGTGAGTTCTAGAACATTCATCTGGTTGTATTTTTTGGATTCATACCGCGCGTTTTGCCTCCCCTTCCTCACCAACTACCTGATGATGCCCGCGGCCCGATGGGTGAAATATTGACAAATGATTCATTAAAGCCTGTTCATGGACTAGAGGTGTTTTCGTATGCATACCTATATCCCGTATAACAGTATCGTGGACAGCCAGGTTTCGCAGTTTTCAGCAGTCTTCTAGTCTTCTTGCCGCCTCCGCCGGGCTCCTCTTCACATCACAGTTCTGCTTGTATACCATCTTCTTTTCGTTCTTGCTAAAACGAAGTTTGGATTCGTGCACAGCTCCGTATTCTCTACAGTTTTGTGGTTCAAATCCAAATACGGCATACCGTGTGTGTGTGGGGGGGGGGGGGGGGGGGAGCTGCTCAGCTCTTACATTAAATTTCAAATCAAAATCCTACTGCACGACCACACTAGGAGTCCGGGTGGAATTCTAGTGGCGGTTCACGCCTATATTCTATGTTTTCAAAATGCACACCATAGGCTCCAGAACTCAGTGCACCTACAGCATTCATTAGTAGGCAGCAGTAGCATGTTGCATGCATCTGCGTTCCCACCATTTGACCAAACTGCCTTATTGAAAAAGAGCCATTACGAAACACGGACTTGAACAGGCCAGGGAAAAGAAAACTTGACCCCACTAGTACAACGGCAGGAATGAGACCATAGTAAGTCCATAACCCATCACCTGGCAAGTGTTAGTTGATAATGAATGATATTAAAATCTGAACCCGAACGAATGCTGACATGTACAAGTGGAGTTAACATACCTGTGCGGGCCAGGGTGCGTGCTCCTGAACTTGTTCGGGGTCGGACCAGAGATACATTCTTCTGTTGTTGTAACATGTGTGTAGCACGGCGGTACTTCAACTGCAGCTCCACCACCTCGTGTTTCAGCTTCTCGTTTTTCTCCTCGCCACGATCGGCACGATCCTTGGTAGAATTTAACTGTGACTTCAATTGACGATTGTACGTGCCAATCTGATCCAGCTGCTGCTTAAGGTCTCGTCGCTCGTCCTCGTTGTGGTCCTCGTTTCGCATGCGCTTGGCCTGCTCCTCGCGGCGTATCTGCTTCTCTTTCTCGTACTGTGCATGCAGCTGTTCGTTGTCGTCCGTGGCCTCATCGAGAGCGCGCTGCGAGTCCTGCAGGTCACTGAGCGCACCGTCCAAGCTCTCCAACACAGTGATAACGATGGGCATAAGACTGGTGACAGGGCCCTCGCCATACTGGTTCACCACCTGTGCAAATTCTCGATACACGCTGCTCGCCAGTGCCTGGACACGTTCTGTCATCACGCCCTGTCCGCCAGCATCTCCACTGCCTGTGCTCACACTGTCAGAGCCTGACGCCACACCTATGAAGGTACTGTGATCACTCATCTCTCTCCCCTTTCCAAGACTCGCTCCGCTAACGTAGAATCGAGTTCTGGATTACATTAGTTCACGGCCACACAGGGACCCTGCGATCAGGAGAGAACATCCACTACAAATAGATTCAGCGCACCAAATCCAACAACGCTTCAGGGAAATCTTCAAATGTTTGATTTTTCGCTCCCAGCTCGAATATTAGCAATCAGCAAAGTATCCCAGGGTTGCTGAACGTCGGGGACCAGGTGAGTCAGGTACGACTATTCATGGTCACAAATACAGACGGAAGATAAAATAGAAGCAGATGTAGCCAAATGCCGAATTGGCGAAACGACCATTCCAATCCAGAGATACACCGACCGATATGTGGACCAAAAATTTGGAGGACTTCTCAGTTGTTCTCTTGAATATTCAATGCAACACATTACGTCCAAAATGGAATGCATATGCACGCACCGTATCGTGTGTGAACTCGTGAACCGTGAATTATGTGTACGAAGCTGACTGGGCCAGACTGGCAAAGGATCACATGAGCAACGTCATCACCAAAAAGTAGGCGGGTGCCGGGTGCCTCGTCGTACTCGTAGATCTACGACCAACTCGATCGAAATCATACTGGACACTGATCGTAGATCTACTGCTGTAGCTGCTGCTGTGCTGTGTATGCTGAGCGCAAAGACTGAGAAGACTGGTGCGTGCATATGGCGCCATTACTGGTATTAGCTTTTGATTACAATGTCAATGGCATGCATGGACCGACGATATAATGGCAGTATTACCATGATTACGAGTCCGAGGCCAGGGAACCCAACACGTAGATGATGCTACCTGGATACGAATAATTATAACTACATTATGCAACGACATTGTCTGTATACATGTAGATCAATGTCGACAATTACTACTACATGTAATTTACTTGCACTTCGAAGTATGTCAATGAGGATTGTCATGCGCCAAGCGACATTACAATGCATGCAACACGACCACAATCACTGCAGCCTGACTCAGTGAGAGTTTGACAGTCAAGCTCGAGCTGCTACATGTATGCCGAAATGATCCTCAGACATTCGCCGATTCGGAGACAAACTACAACAGCACTCATTATCATGGTAGATCTACTGGACAAGACTAGTACACTACACATACAGGCTTTGAAGGCTGCATGCATGCGGTTTTTGTGGAGTGGCTCTTGTCATCAATGACAATCATGTCATCCCTGGTGACAGAGTAGTCCAAGGGAATAGTGGAAGAATGCTACATACATGTATTATGTTTCTGTCTATCATATCGTGCCATGGTCTCTTTTTATTATTTTTTTTACCAAGTCCACTATCAATGTCGATCTGCTCTGTTTCAATGTCCAGCATATTATTAAGCGAACGTGTGGATCAAGCATAACTGCTTGGTTGACGCTGCCGCGGAAATGCGTATAATAATAATAATAATAATAATAACGACTGATAAAGACTGATACTCCCTTCATTGGTTGATGTACTTTGCCTGTCGCTGCAAATTCTTTATTATTGTTTTGATGTTGGAGTTCGGATTGAGTTTCTTTCCTTTCTTCCTCTTCCTTCCCCTATTTCTTGTCCCTTTGGTTTTTAGCTTTTTATTTTTTCACTATATTTTTGCTGTCCCACCTATGGAAATATTTCCCGGTGGGTCTGGCTTATCGCCTTCGAAAGAAGTGAATAAAGGAGACATAATAATCTTCACTAGTTTGAGGGAAAGAGACAAAGGGAAAGAGACAAACGGGAAATAATAATAATAATAATAATAATAATAATAATAATAATTAGGACATGTGTCAAAGTATTGAACGTTTTCGTTCCCTTCTTGTCAAAATACTACAGGGAATGATGGAAATAAGCTAAAAGACTACAACTATAAGGAAAAGAAGTTCAGAAACATATCACTCCAATTATGTGTAGATGAAAAAATAGATGTGAAGAATACAAAAAAACAGCATGCAAATCCAATAAGTGACAAAAACGTAGTGACAAGAAAAAGAGAGAAATATCAAGAGATCTATTTCGCACCTTCACGACGAACAGTGCCAAACAACTGTTGTTGTTGAAATTTTATTTTGTATCGCAGACCAAACGGGCAATGGTGCCCTATATTATGATGGCGATAAAGTAACGGCCGAGAGCCAAGGATACAACAAGCAAGCCTCCACGAAAGAGAGAAAAACACAGAAAACACAGACTGCAAATACTCAAAAAGAAAAAAGAGAAAGGGAAAAAAAGAAAAATAAAGAAGAAGAAAGCACAGTTGAGTCACAGTTGAGTCACGACTCCAAGTCCAAGCCTAGATGCTGGCTAACCATAAAAATAAACCTTTAAAAGTCTCTTGAACGATCTATGGCAGGCGAGGGACTTGAACTCTTGGGGCAGGGCGTTCCATAATTTAACAGCAGAAACGAGCGGCCGACAGTCACCAGAGACTCGCCTGGTGGCAGGGACAACATACGCATTTGGATCGTTGATCCGAGTGACGCCTTCAGTCTGGCGACGTAGGCGCTTGGACAGGAGATTACTAATTCTGGCGGTGTGGATACGAAGCATGAGGAGGCGGAGTTTACAGTGGGCGTTTTGGATGATGGGGATGAGGCCTAGACGGGTGCAAAGACAACACATCCTCCTTCTGAACACAAAGCTCAGGGTCTAACTTACGTATGTACAAAGCTTCCAACACGGCAAGATTTCCTTATAGTTGTAGTCTTTTAGCTTATTTCCATCATTCCCTGTAGTATTTTGACAAGAAGGGAACGGAAACGTTCAATACTTTGACACATGTCCTAATTGGCTGGTGGTGACTCTTGCGTAGATGCATGCGTAGATAATACATGTACATTTTTGTAATATTTTCTGCCTCCGTCCTACTTTCAAATAATAATAATAATAATAATAATAATAATAATAATAATAATAAAATTTTTTGCCCTCAGGGAGAATGGATTGCATTTTGGGAGCTCTGGCCGAACACGAGCAACAGCTCAAAGTAGGCCCGCTCCTAAGCCTATTTTTCATACGCCAGGGATACCAGCGGCATCGGGAGGAGACAATCAGAAAGAAGCCTCTGCATGGCCAATTTTGGCTTATGCTGCAGGATGCTGAGCTGGATCGAGGGCTCTCCTTTGCGTGGTTGCGGTCTTCCGCTTTGCGTCCGGCGACAGAGAGTATTGTCATGGCCATACAGGACCAGGCTATCCCAACACGGAACTTACAAGAGATATTTAATCGAGGAACAGGTGTGTCAACGAAAACGAGTTGCAGGATGTGTGGCAGGGACAAGGAAACGGTTTTCCACCTTATTGGAGCGTGTACAGCTTGTGCAGGAAGTCACTATATCAATCGCCACAACAGGTTAGCAAAATATCTCCACTGGACATTGTGCAGGAAGTATGGTGCATCGGACATTTCGAATAAGTACACAAGTCACCAACTCACCAACGTCGTGTACAGTGCTGAAACGGATGTGTCAATCTACTGGGAAGTGCCAATTCCAACAGCAGCGCCCGTTGGAGCAAACAGACCCGACATTATTATCAAGGGCAAAGATGAAGCGTTCCTTGTGGACGTAAGTGTCCCTCTGGATAGGAACATCCGCCGAAAATCTGTGGAAAAGATACAGAAATATCAAGGCCTGAAGCGTGAGGTGGAGCAGATGTGGCAGGTGCGGGCCAAGATCGTGCCAGTAATTGTGGGGGCATTAGGTGGATTAACCCCCTCGACTGCTGACTTTGTGAGGGAACTGGATGCCGGAGCCAGTGTATCGATCTTGCAAAAGGAGGCGCTCCTTGGCACAGTTGACATCATCAGGTCAATAACTCAGATGAAATAATAATTACACTCTAATAAGTTACATTGGTTTGCGAATGCCCATGGTTATGGTTGCTGCTATTAGTTGAAGCACCTATTTGCAGAAAATAATAATATTATGATCGTAATATTAATCACTTGCCAATAACAAAGACAACAATAATACCATCAGCCCCCATTCACCGGTTTTGACGGTGCTTCACTGATGTTCAATGAGAAGAATTATATTGCTGCCTTCAGTGCTATTGTGTCGCTGAAGGGCTCGATTTCAGATTTGATGACGGTTACTTTTCAACGGATTTTGTTTTCTGATTTAGCTCTCTTGCTATTACTGTACCTGCTTGTGTTAAGTCTCATTCTCGCAGATTAGTTGTATAATAGATTGTACATGCATCATTGTAGATTTGCTGTTCACAGTATTTCTCTCTTTTTTCTTTCTTTTTCTCAGTCTTCCTTATTACATTTTCTTCACATACAACAGCAGTACTCCCCATGGTCTTAAATGACCCGGGATGCTGCATAATACAAACACAAAACCAATAAAGCCACCCCCATAATAATAATAATAATCTTCACTAGTAATAATAATGGTTGATAGATATGGTGGTAAAGACACACCTGGCAATATGGCGGTAAACACACGCCTGCCCACACACGCTCTCTAGGCTGCAAAGTTCTGGCACAGAGCTCTCCTTCTCACCACCACCACCATCAGTTCGCGCCTGGCGCCTGGTCGATGCATGACTGGCGGTATCCGGCATAGCAGGCTGGTACATCAAGTAGCGCATGGCACATACAGTATATGACACAGCAACGACATAGCTCGATTGCGACGTACGTTTCGTCCCCGCTGGACTCATCAGGCAATCTCATCAGGATTGCCTGAGTGATGAGTCCAGCGGGGACGAAACGTACGTCGCAATCGAGCTACCGGTAATGCGGTATGTCGTTGCTGTGTCATCATCTATGTGCAGTGCTGGCAAACCGTCCGATTTTTCGGACAGTGTCCGATTTTTGAAGGCTCTTCCGAAAACCGGTCCGAAAAAGGAAACGTCCGAAAAGTAGCCAAAAATGTCAGGGATCAGTACTTTCCTATTCAGAAGTCCTGTATTTTCACTTTTCAGCGCAACTGAAGGCACAAATCCCTGTCATGTGCTTCTAAAAAGGCTAGCGCTTGGCGCGGCGGTGGAAGTGCAAAGTACGAGGGCATGTAGATCTACACTGAACAGTGTGTGACCACACTCATGCATTACCAGGATTACAGAATTCAGGCATGGCAACCAATTACTTCGGTGTGCAAGATCGGTTACCATGACAACGGAGCGAATTTTCATGGTATTTTGGGCGGTTTTTTGAATTCTCCGGAAAAATTGCTGAGGAGAAAAATTCGCACCATGTGGCCAGCCTTGGCGATGAAGGGTGTCCGATTTTGGGCGAAAACTATTTGGCAGCACTGTATGTGCCATGCGCTACTTGATGCCGGTACATGTACCAGCCTGCTATATATGCCGGATACCGCCAGTCATGCATCGACCAGGCGCCAGGCGCGAACTGATGGTGGTGGTGGTGAGAAGGAGAGCTCTGTGCCAGAACTTTGCAGCCTAGAGAGCGTGTGTGGGCAGGCGTGTGTTTACCGCCATATTGCCAGGTGTGTCTTTACCACCATATTTATCAACCATAAGTACAGCTGCAGTGGTGTCTTCAATTTCATTCTCCCGAGTAATAATAATAATAATAATAATAATAATAAGTCCACTATGCTCCCGAATGCATGCGGAAAGTGGTGGCGGAGCCCTGCTGCTCAGCCGACCTTGGTGGTCTCGGCGTCTGCACAGACAAAGCGCGACAAGAAAAATAGAGAAAGACATAGGAGACATAAGAGAGAGAGAGAGAGAAAAGAAAAACAAGACGAGAGCAAGACATGTATACGGAAGTGCAGCGCCCACACATCCACTGCTGAAGGATAAAGATAAAGGATACATGTATGTTGGATAGGGAAATTGGGGTCAATCAGAACTTAAGGTAGCAGTACTGGAAAACGGGTGTCAGATTTAGCCAAAATATCAATTTCACGGGAACTGCTTCAAGTGTGATTTTTCTGAAAGAAGGAATACCAAAGGGTCTACAAATGAATTTTTTTGGCATTCGAACCAGCCAAAGCAGAGATATGGCCCTTCAAAAACTGAAAATACCCGTCAAAATTTCAAAATTGCACTGATCAGCTGATCGATGTCAATCTATTTCGAGAGGGTTTCTGTACAATATCAACGCATCCTTGCCAATCTCGGCCTGATTCACGCTATCTGTCCAGCTAAAACCAGTTTAGAGCTGGGCTGAGTGTCGCGATCGCCACATGCAGCGCCTGCCTGGCCCAAGCTAGCTGGCCTGGCTGGCCTGCACTCAACCCACGCAATTGTATTTTCAAAAAATTAATGATAAAAAAATTCTTTGTTCTCAAACTGTTTGCCAATGCGACGAGCGTTTGTCAGCGACGTTGGAGCTCTGCGCTTGAGTTGTTGTGCTGGCGCTACTTGGTCAGGAGACGGGTGATGAACACAAACGAAGGTCGCTCAGCAGGCCAAGGAAAAGCAAATTTCCTAGAGTTACGTCCAAGCTCGTCTCAAATCCTGAAGTATTTGAGCCAATTGAGGGGAGTGAAAGCGAACACGAGTCGCAGGCTGATGGAGCTGGTGAGGGCGTAGAAGATGACTCTGATCTTCCAGCTGATTTTTTATCCAGTGATGCCTCGTGTGATAACGATGGAGATTAGTCTGAAGAGGATTGCGATGATATTCCATCAGGAATTCGAATTGTTCACATGGAGAGCTTACAGCAATTGGTGACGTCAGCGTGTGTATGTAGTAATTATCAAGAGGGCAACCTGACTATCAAAGATAATTTTCGTCATGGCCTCGCCTCAACAATTAGTTTGCAGTGCGAATCGTGCTGCTCATCAACCAGTGTAGCCCTGGCAGAAAGACACCCACTTGCTAAATTGTACGATATAAACCGCCGCCGCAGTGTGCTTGCCATGCGCCTTATTGGTAGTGGACGAGAAGGTCTGAACAGTATCTGTGGGATATTGGATATGCCGCCTCCTGTTAGCAATTCTGGGCACAGCGATGCACTACACACTGCTGTGGAAACTGATGCTAGGGACAGCATGAAGAGTGCTGCACAGCGTCTTCTTGTTCGGCGAACAACAGAACAGCAATCCCACCCGGAGAATGTTGCAGTTAGCACCATGGAACGTGGATGAAGCGCGGATTCTCATCAATGTTTGGTTTGCCAACTGTTGTGTCCTATGAGACAGAAAAGGTTCTGGACGCGGAGGTGCTATCAAAACACTGCAGTGGATGTGAAACTTGGAAGAACAGATGGCAAGCAAGAAAGATTTCTAATGCTGAGTACGAACAATGGAAATGTTTTCGGCTGTGCTGGAAATGATGAGCTGCTCTAAGTTTCACTTGCCAGCTCTGGTCTTCTCAAGTTGGATGAAGAGAAGCAGTATCACAGGAGGAGAAGGTCCAGTGAGGAGCAAAAGTCAGCCAGGAAGAGAAGAAGAGCCATTCGAAAGGGATTTGCTGACGCGATACAGCAAGCAGAGGTAGTCACATACATTGCTGGAGGGTTTTCAGAGTGCCAAAAGTTAGTGTTTTTTGGCCTTCCGACCAAACTTTGGTACACTATATCTCCAGACTGGCTCATCACAGCCCAATAAACCTTATATGTAGATTGATCAGTGGAAAATTTCCCAGATGCTGAATATATTTATAAAGCCATAGTTTTTTGTTTGGCGGATGTTAGCTGCCTCAGTAGTAATAATCTTTTTCGACGGTGACGGGCGTCTTCACAGATGATGTTGACTGGGTGGTGCTATTTGTGTCCTATCTCCAATCTGTTCTATTCAGCATCTGCTACTATTGTAGACTGTCGCTTATGATGCATTTTTAACACTTCAGCTGATATTATGTTGCTGCTAGCATGTACCAAAAATCTGAGATGACGGCATTTTTTTACTCTCCAGTGCAGTGAACTTTTGGCACGATGCGAAGTAAATAAGTTCAAGGTAGTACTTTTATTAGGTGGTGGCGTGAATCATGAATCTGTGCTCAAAATTTTGTGGGAAAAGATTCACAGACACCGAAGTAATACCCGATTTTAGTTGTGTGTATTTGCGAATGGCATATTCCAGTACTGCTACCTTAAGCTAAGGAAGTCAAAGAGCGTCAGTTGCTCTCTGCCAGTCAAGGTGCAGCAGGTACTTATGGCATCTTTCCTTGAAGGACTGCAGCTGTTGTGGGTGCGGTGCAGATTGCAAGACATGTCCGGGCAGGCTGTTCCACGTTGGAATGGCGCAATCGGGGAACCCATTGCGGAGGCTGCTTCGGGTGCGTGCCGGGAGTGTGGATTTTAGCTGGTTCTGGTGTTGCTGAGCGATCTTAGTAGCCAGCCTGGTCGATGGTCTGCACGGAGGGGTGGGTCGGCTGGGGGGAAGATACGTTAGCTTGAAGAGGAGCGACCTGAGGGATGCAACCATTCTGCGGTAGGCCTTGACGGATTATGCTAATATTTTCGTGAAATTATGCTTTTCGCATTGCTGAAAAAATTGCAGAATTATGCTATTTTTATGCTAAAAGTTATCATATTATGCCGCATTATGCTCACATATGCTGCTAATGTATTATGTATATGATGGTTCTGTGCAAAAAAGCAGGGGAATATTTTTGTAGAGGGCATTGTCATGGTTGTACTGTAGTAGCAGAAGTTCAACGGGGTGAATGCACCGTCCGACCTAGCTACGACCGTCACTGATCGTAGTGGACTGGACATGTTATCAAGGGAGTCGTAAACCTACGACTTCCTGGTGCATCTACTGTCTTGTAGAACATGTACAACTGTATGGAATCTGATGCGAACAGGCGGATTATTCCAATTTTATGCGATACGTATGCAATTTGCCTCGACTTATGCGATTATTCGATTTTGGTAGGAATTATGCGAAAAATTATGCTAGCATAATCCGTCAAGGCCTATTCTGCGGTGCTCCAGGCTGGGAAACCAAACTCCCGGGCCGATGATCTTTAGCGCCCTGTGCTGCATCTTGTCCAGGCTGGACATCCACACCATCCACACCAAGGAGCAGTACTCCATCAAAGGGCGGACAACCCCCTTGTACACAGTTGTGCGACCTCTGGCGTCTAGGAGGGGGGCAACCTTGGCAAGGAAGTGGAGCCGCTGAGCAACTTTGGTTGCAATGGAGTGGAGGTGACTTGAGAAAGACAGCTGGGTGTCAAAGGTGACACCGAGCAGCTTAATCTCCCGCTCCTCCGGGATGGCAGCTCCTGCAAACAGTGCTGATGGCATGGCTGGGGGTGGCTTACGGTGGTTAATGGTCATCGCCTGAGACTTGGATGGCTCAAATGTCACTTTCCAGTCTGCGCCCCACTCAGCGACGCTGTCCATGACGGCTTGGAGCTGCACCGTGGAGTCGGCGATGTCGGATGTGGCGGACAGGCACTGGTAGAGGGTCGTGTCATCCGCATAGGTGGCAAGTAATTAGTTCGGAGCCCGCAGGGAGATGGTCCTCATCATCGTTCACGTAGAGGAGAAACAATGTCTAGATCTACAGTCTACTACAGACACTACAGACACTACAGACACTACAGTCTAGAGCTTCCACAATGTAGTACAGTCAGCCACGGTAACCAATGGTAACCTTGTACACTGTAGTTGTGACCGTGAGTCAGTCATGCAGTCTGAACTCTGAACTCTGAACTCTGCCTCTGCCTCTGTTCAGTCTGGAGTCATGGATTGGCGGCCGGCATGGTTTGGGTGAGACTGCAGTAGTAAGTACTGCACTGGTATGGCTGTATTATGTACTGTCTGGCACTTATTTATTTATTCGTGCATTTTATTTATACATTCCTGGCTAACCGTAAGGCCGGCCGCTGCCAATAGTGAGAATGAGATGAGGGGTGGTAACAAACCATGGTTAACTAAAAACTACTGAAGTACATTTAAAAATGAGATGGAAAAGAGAGAAGAGGAATAAGCTGCAAGTTCCAATGCATTGCATCCACATGCAGGCTAGCCACATTCACTAAGGAATTCCACATTCAGGCAATAAATTGGTACTCGAGTCAGTGTACAGTAATCATAAAGTAGCCTGGTCAAAAAAAAAACATTGTAAGCGATTATTAGTAATTTACCGGCACCAAGTCGAGTACATAAACCTTGCCGGCACTAGTTCGCAGACTGTTTAATCCGTGTGAGTAATTTTGCTTTTACGGATAACTTCTTTCCATGAAACAAGATGAATGATACCAGGCTCAAAACTATTCCTAGTCTATCTTCCAGGATGATGAATACCAATGGGCAATGCTATTAGAAAACCATGCATGTACGCTTACTGAAGCAACTGCTAAATTGAAACTGATACATGCAAAATATACCGTATAGAAACGAATCCTAACAATACCGGAGTACTATGTACTGAATCTGGTACAAACTAGTAGCAATGAATAAGAACTATAGTAAGCATTATGTTAAAGCTGTCCAGCACTTAAAAACAAATCACTATTTTAGCGAGCAATATGAACATAATTGCACGGATATTGCCTAGATAGCTGAAGTATGCTGATTGAAATACCGATCGACCGCGCCGTGAAGAGCTTGCAGGTCCGGATGCGCTTGAAGAATACACGATAATAATCCAGCTCAATAAAGATTACATTAGTCGCTATACATCAGTGCGTAAAATGGCGAGGAGGCGATCATCGCAGCACCCATAACAAGCTGTACAGCTCATTGAGTGCACCATGGTGACATTTCCCACGTAGCCAAAGGAATATTATAAGGTCTAAGTCACACATTAAAAGCTACATGAATTGCATTTAGTTTCTCAAAAACATACCAAGTTCAGTGTGCACAATGTTTATAACTATGGTGTGATTAGCAATGGTTGGACGAGTGTAACAGAACATGGATGTGGACGTGTAAGTCAGTACACACACTTTGATGTGCAAAGAGTTTTCACCAAGGCTTACTTGCATGAGCAGGGTAGCATGATTTCACCACCGCTTGACTACATGGCACATGAGCAGAAACAAGAGCTAAGTTTTCTCCGAGGCTGCATCGCCACCGGCTTCAGCAATATTGGACAGTAGGGGCTCTCTGGCGCGCGGTATGCTGCTGGTCCGAAACATGTGATGCTTGGATGAGGAAAGCGACGCGGACAGGTTGGAATCGGAGCGACCGCGCAAGCGCCGCCGGGGCATCAGCACGGCGATCAGCGAGGCAAAGAACACTACACCAATCACACCGCCCGTGATGCCAGCTATGGCACCATGGGACAAGCTGGAGTGGCCTGGAACGGGGCACAAAATAGGAAGGAAGGAAAAAAGTTACAACAACAGTGCAGGACGTTGTTGGTTGATACCACAAGTGGCAAACAAACACAGATATGCTTAGGAACCGTGTAGGAAACACGACCTGAGGAAGCAGTCTTGATAGGTCCAGCCATACAGGCCTTTCATACTTGTCTCTGTGTACGGTATGGCAGGTGCACAGGATCTCCTCATTACCACCATGTGTTGGTATCAACGGATTAAACATGGACCCAGCATACACAGCATTCATGCATCAGTGTGTACACACATCCTGATTGGCGGGTAGATTGCATGGAAAACTGAGTGTATGGCTGGCAGTCGCAGTATCAGACGGTTTACTCTTACTCTTTTGTGTAGGGTCAACGTTAGGACTAGCTGTTGTGGCTGGATTGCTGAAGCCTACAGAGTGACACACACACACGCACACACACACACACACACACACACACACACACACACACACACACACACACACACACACACACACACACACACACACACACACACACACACACACACACACACACACACACATACACACACACACACACACACACACACAAACACACACAAACACAATGACAGACTGACATCACCATAGATACAGGTCAGCACAATCTTCTCTACCGCAACCAGCTCAGGTAGAATAGTATTTCTTACATGATACGTGATCATTGCCGGGGCCATGGCCAATAGGCGGTCTTCCCGCCGCGGGCATAATCAGGCCATCAGGACCGTTTGACGTCATTTTGGGAGTTTCAGGACCGTTCGACGTCATTTCGGGAATTTCAGGACCGTTTGACGTCATTTCGGGAATCATTTCTGGAATAATTCGACCTTTGACCTTCCCTAATACCGTATTATCTCTATTATAAGTAGGGGTGAAAGGGGTGATCCGGGTAACCCGGGTACCCGTCTGTTTAGCTGCTGATCCGTTAGCAAACGAGTACCCGTTAGTTGTGTAGGATTGTAGGGTACAGTATTATAAGCTTGCTTGTACAGTTGTACAGTTCAGTGCACAGTTTTGAGTGTGTTTTTCCGCTCGTTCAATCCTGCTACATATCACGGTATCCATTGTAGCTACGACAACTTTGACTGTTTGCATGTAGCGCAGTGATTGTGCACGCTGCGCTTGTCGCGGTGTAGTGTACTTGCATGACTTCGCATATCCTCCTGGCGTGAAATCCGGAAGGCTACTGTAGCTAAATTGTTGCCCGAAAATCTCTCTCCTATCAGAATGCTTGTAAAAGACATGTTGCGCTTACGATCCCAAGCAAATGGAACGTTTTTGGAAAAAGTATGGCGGATAAAGGGTACCCGATAACCCGCCCGTTAAGCCAGATACCCGTTTGTTACCTTAAAGGGTAACCGTTTCACCCCTGATTATAAGCACGGTCCTTTATTTTTTCAATGTACCTCCGCCCCGTGCTATTAATGGAGACGTTCCATTATTGTTTCAACCTCATTTCAGAGGCATGCTGCCATGCCAAATTCATGTCAGACACACACATTTCAGGGTTTTTTTTTGCCGGTACAGATAATGAATGTACACAGTGTGCTTATAATGGAGACTGAGCACTTTATTTTTTGAATGCCGCCCGAAGGTGTTCTATTATTGGAGACGTGCTATTATTGGAGACTGTGCTTATATTAGAGATAATACGGTATGTTGCTTCAAGTCATGCTGTAAGAAATCAAATCAAGCACGCTCTGTCTGTCATGATGCCTGAATCTTGCCCTTGCCTGCAGCCCTCGGGCCTATGGCCCTTGGGCTGCAGGTTCGGGCAAGATTCAGCCACCATGACCTCCTGAGCGTGCTTGATTACATACATCCACACAGCAGTACGTTCAATGGCATGCAGCATGACCGTAGCATAGCAGTATACAGTCAATGACTCACCAGAACTACACAATGTAGGGAAGATTCCAGAGCAGGGCGCCAGATCTGTCTGACCAGGGCTGCATGCCTCGCACACTATACCACACACATAAACACACACACACACACACACACACACACACACACACACACACTCACACACACACACACACACACACACACACACACACACACACACACACACACACACACACACACACACACACACGTACACACACACACACACACACACACACACACACACACACACACACACGTACACAAACATAGATACACATTTTAAGTACATGTTGTGCCTGGTTGATCCCATGTAGCAAAACCAGTGCATGTATCATACAGGTCACAGTGTAACACAGTGTAACACAGTGTAACACAGTGTAACACAGTGTAACACAGTGTAACACAGTGTAACACAGTGTAACACAGTGTAACACAGTGTAACACAGTGTAACACAGTGTAACACAGTGTAACACAGTGTAACACAGTGTAACACAGTGTAACACAGTGCTGGTCAATGGAATTCAACCTCATGAACAGACACTCATACCTCGTTTCCGCAGCTTTGGAATGTCCGTAACTCCGAACCACATACATTTTTTATGGGACGTCATTCTTTCCACAAAAGTGCCAAAAGAGTAGTAATATTTCCACTGAAACTCGTCCAAAGGGTGTCCGGTAGACTGAAGCGCTCGTAGCTTCGGGGTCCGGATAACCGAAGTATGGGTGTACTAATATTATAACTTTTCTTAAATAAGCACCCTAGGCCAGAGCAGTGCCCAGTGTTCACAGGTCTGGAGCTACATAGTGCCGAGCACAAGTTGACCGCCGCGATCGGATTAAAATCATTACATGACTTGTATCAGTTCTGTATTTGAAGCCCACCGGATGAACAGCAGTGACCAGACTGTTTCTTTTTTCCGGAACTCTGAGTTTTACGTATGGACGTGACACTCATCACACAGAGGTATTTGAAACCAGCACAATTAAACGAGTTATCCACACTTCACGTCCACAAGACAGACTTCATAACTCTCTAGTCACATGACAGGTAAATGTAATGTTACCATGCACGCTCAATTGCATGTATACTGGGAAAGTGTCACGTGATCTAGCCCACAATGCACATATGACTGGCTATTCGCCTCCGTCGTGAATGGATTATGTATGTTCTCTGCCAAGCAACCCTATAACTTGCCTATGATACAACTGCTCACCTGTGTATTGGAAACTGTAGTGAGTGCCTTGGTACTTGTAGAGCTGGAAGGTATCTCGAACGGCTCTGAACCGCACCACCACGGTGGATTCCGTTGAAATGAACGGCAGCGGCTGAATATCCCCAGTCAGCACAGTGCTGGGATTTGGCTCGTTTCCGTTCAGAATGGTCAGGTTTATTCGGCTGATGTCCGAACATCCCAGCGGTGGCGTGCTGGCATGGCAGTTTAGCAGGAAGGACGTGAAGTAGATGCGAACGCGGCTGCCCACTGGTGCGCGTATGGTGTGGTTGCAGTCGTAAACCTGCAGCGGGAACTCGTTGCTCCATTTCATCGACACTGTGCCACTCTGGTCGGTCAGCACCTCACAGCGCTGTGGACTAACGCGGTAGCTGTTACCTGCAAGCACAGGGAATAGCCATGCATACATGTAACAGCATTTCAATGGCATGCACCCTTTTTCACATGGAGTTCCACTGCAAGCGAGGGTTGAAGTGCAGACTATCTATTGTTCCATACACGTGATGGACACTACTATGCACGTATGCTGTCCCGCTGTCCCGCCTGGCCCTGATTGTGTGCATAAGGTATGCTTACACAAGATCCAGGCGTACGCAGACATTCTAAAAGCTGTGGACATGCTCAATAGTTTAGTCCCATAAAACCTTTCGCAGGAATAAGCCATACCGGGATTAGGTAGAGCTGTCCAGGTGGCTACAAATCCACGATGTTGGTTAGTGTAGTCACTAGTAAACCTAATCTGTGCTGTAGAACCCACTGACGACCATACGGGCGGGAGAAACGGGCCGCAGTGCTCTCTATTGTTATCCGGATATGCCATGTCGGTTAGGTGGACAACGTCGTGGACACAGTCGGAAAGCGACACGTCCAGATCGAAGATGGAGAACTGCACCTGGACGCGATAGCCGTTGGGAACGGTGATGGTCCAGGTGCATGCCACGTTGTTACTGTACAGTCCGGTGTCGTTGACCGTGGGCGAGGCAATGGTGCCGTTGTACCCGGTGAGAGAGCCGCCGCAGTGCTTCACAGCTGTGCACCAGGGAGCACACAATCATGCGGATGCAAAGAACGGATTACCGTCTGAGTGACTCGGAGAAAGCACCACATAGTAGCATGGTAAGAGACTTTAGCACACATGCTCATCCATAGTAATGCGGACGTGGCATAGAATAATGAGTATCGTACATGTTGATGTATGCACCGTGGCAATGCAGCAGGTGATAAGTAACAGGGCAGCTACTGGGCATGACAACCATCATGTCCATACAAGAAAAACAGGCGCGACCACATCTTGAGACCCTGGATATTTCTTCCGTAGAAGATGTAATTTCAATTATTTCACGCAATGATGATGCCAATCAATGTCTAATCTAGCTAATACAAGCACACGCCATTATGAGTACACCATCGCTTCAGAGTTCAATAGGCTTACCACTATACTGGAGTGAGAATCCAGTGGATCCAGTGGACTGCGGTGAAGTGGTGAACTTAACCAGTACACTCGACGAAGGTATGGTTAGTTCAGTGAAGGCTAGCCCAGACCCGGACAGCTGTCTGACGAGAGGGGCTGAGCCAGTGTAGCCGCTGTACAGGTTGATGTGCGCTGTGGATGCGTTGCCTTGAAGAGCATAGGTAATGGATAACTGCACCGTGATGCACCGCGATGCACATGTACACAGACACACACAGACACACACACACACATATACACATGCATACATCATTTTGCGAGAACTGTTGCAATACGCCCAGTGAGAGGGCAAATTTTACCTGTGCCCATGGTGAAGCAAAATAATTATAGCTAAACAAACAAACATCCATATCCCATGCACAAGCGTGCACGGACACTCACATAGGTATGCACACACGGCATACATAGAGATGGAAGGTCATTTGTAAAAGCAAAGAAAACTACGCCCACAGGCCTTTCAAACGGGATACACATGATAACGGAAGCTCACTGGGACAGCACCAATCCTTCTGACGTTTAATCCCTGCCAGGTGTACAACTCTAGCCGCTGCACCGTCTTACCTTCACATTGAATCCTTCCTGAACAGCAATGACCCACACACACTCAATGTCGGAGCGATAGAGCGCTGCACCACTACCATCATCAAATATCCCAGCCGGCTGGTTGAAGACGAATATACAATGCAATGATGCTGCCTTCTCATCTAGTAACCGAACAAACAAATGGGTAGTGTGCACACAAGCCCGGCACAGTTATGGTTAAGAGCAGCACTTGTGCAAGCGTTGTTTTGACCAGAATGTCCTCAAGCCAAGCAAGGCTACTGCAGTACTGCTAGTAATAGCGTCATGCTGGTTTACATAGAAGAGAGTCCCTTGTACATCAATCACTCTATTTGAGCTGTCCCGGATGGCCCTATTTGTGAAGAGACCCCCTAGATACGTATCTATTCATCTTTGTGAATCCGTGAAAAAAACCCAATACAGTGCAGCAGTACAATGCCATGTACATGTACATGTTGCATGCATTCAGGTAGTAGTAGAAGTAGTATCTATTATTTGACTAGGGGAGTCCCAACAGGCATGGCCTTGTTACAGGGAACCCTTGTAATGGTTGAACCGATCTGTAACAACGTAAAAGACGCACCAAATCATGCACTGTGCGTAGTTTGACTTGTAGTCAACACAGCCTAGAAGCATGAGCAATACATCAGTCATGTCCTACATTGTGTTGCCAAGTATGAAGAAATCTCAGCAACGTGGTTGGATGGAACCGGTGCCTGTGATAAACAAAAACGTGCAAACAGCATCAAGGGCACAGGATTGAATGAAAGACACAAAGAGCAAACTCCAACATTCTGAGCAGCCACCTTCTCCGCATATTACCGCTAAAGTTATAACGTAGAAGCAGCAACAAGGGTGTGTTCCACATTGGAGCAACCAACTTCAAAGTCATATCCTCTTCTAGTACTTGAAGTATTTCAAAAGGCACCTGTGCATAATTATGAAGCCAATGAACTGATTAGTTGGTAGGCTGCATAAGAATTCTGCCATTAGAAGTTAATCAGGGTAGACTGCATAGGGAGATCCTGGCATTGAATTAGTCGAGGAACCACTGCTATGTAGCGTTAGCCTTCTCCCAGTCATATCTACTGGTGTATAGGTCCGATAGCTATCATGCATCTAGGTCATCAACTGCTGAAAGCCAGTGCAAGACCTTACACAGTATTACCATACTCTTATCATTGTTATCAACAAAGTGTATTCCATCCAATGGTGTTTACGCACTGCTTACAGGCAATGTCGTGAAGTCCACAAACAGCGATGGGAAATACGCCTCTGTGATTTACAATTACCACATGAAGTTGAGCACGTACACACACACACACACACACACACACACACACACACACACACACACACACACACACACACACACACACACACACACACACACAAATGCATGCATTGACACACATACATAAGCAATAACACAGAGTGATCAAGTCCTGCGGCAGTGCACATATGGCCTGGGGCAGATCTTCAATACTGGAAAATATGGCTACAGCCTCCCGGCACAACCTAGATACATGTAAACTCAGTGATCATAGCACAAACAGCATCCGTGTTTGACTCAAGAGGAGCACTTACTGAACAGAACAACTGCTGGACAGTTGCGAGGATCTGTAGGAGAGATAATAATAAAAAGAATGTGCAAGGAAAAACATCAAGTTGGGGAGCACGTACTTTTACACATTAGTTCACTTCACTCCGGGACACATCTTTAACATTAGAAAAGTCTCTGCTCCGCTTGTGCTTGTATCAGAGCAATCACCTGCAGCAAATTCTGCACTCAGTTTGACGTATATAGAAATGATTCCAACTATGTGTCCATGTAGTTGAAGACCATGGCTGTGTGATGAGTGCCTTTACCCCGTTGAAACACCAAGTAACCTAGGCCGAAAGTAGTAGTAGATGATGGATATGGTTGTACTGCGGCTGTGTGCCTATTATGCTTCAAGACCACATGCATGTACGCATAGGATATGTCAGTATCAGTATCAGATGGTGTAGCTCAGTTAGACTGAACAAGTGACAGCTCAGCTAGGATAGAGTACGTAAACTCGCCTAATTTCCCAACCTAATTCACTTTGATCTTGTTCTAGTGGAAGTACTACCACACAAGCACAGTACTCTATGGCTGAAACGGGTTTAATACCCCCCCTCCCCCCCCCTCCTCCCCCTCCCCCCTCCCCTCCCCCTCCCCCCCCTCCCCCTCCCCCCCCTCCCCCCCCCTCAACACAGACACAGACATAGACTCCTTGCCCGTTTCAAAAGAAATTTTAGAAGTTTCTAAATCCACCGCAAATCCACCGCAGAAGACCATAACTCACCGGCATTAATGGTGTAGAAGAATTCTGGTTGGAGCTTCGGCACAGTTCGTGACGATGACATCGGGACAACATTTGACAGGTATAGATTACGCAAGCCCTGCACTAGCCAGTAGCCCTGGAGCGGCTCATAGCGAATGAAGCTGACCTCGCATCGTGATCTCGGGCAGGTGGCCTCGCTCAAGGTTTGCGTGGCCAACGTTGTCCAATGAACGCATGGGCACACCTTTCACAACATTGCACAACAAGAAGAAGAAATAGCTGGACAACGTCACAGGCTATGGGTTTCTGGGCTTTGCCTATAAAACAGGCTGTAATTTAGCAGCTGTGATAGCAAAATGGGCAATTTTATATGGTAGGCAATGGGGATGGCTAGCCAAATAACAAACACCAAAGACTAGCAGGTAACCCATGGTCGCGGGGAACATAGGAGGGAACAGTGTGCTTCATTCGAAGGAGATCCGCTCACCTTGTTCAGAACGTCGGTCCATTCATCCGACCAGGGCGTCACAAAGTACAGCGTTGGCACGACTAGCGTGTGACGTGCAAACATCGGCCCACCGTCCTACAGTACACAAATATGTACATGTGTTTCATTGTGTTTCATGACCTACCGATACAATATAGTTGAAAGAAAATCAATGCAGAATTCATAGAAAAGAAGAAAAAAGACCCAAGGAACTACAAGTTACGCTATAATATGTCCGCTAACACCACCAGTTACTAAACAATCAGCTCATGCGATAAAAATTGCACAACACTGACCGACGGTACTGACGTTCTACAACTAACTGGCTAAGTCCGGAGTCCAGAGTCCATTAATGCAGAATTCCCTGTTACAGTCAACTTGGCTAATAACGACTGCTGCGGATATAACGACAATTCGCGAATAACGACAGAATTTCCATGCCCAGATCAAAGTCCCATCTAACTGCATACATTTAATTTCGGATACAACGACTATCTGAATAACGACAATTCGCGAATAACGACATGCTTTTAGTGCCCCGAGGTCATATTCACTGCTTGAATAACGACTTTCTGGGCTTTTGACAGCTACATGTATTTCAAGTACCTGTCATGCAGAAGTACCAGAACCCATGGCGATGGATAAAGGTACACATGCAAGAAGATGCAGCCAAGGGGAGGGGGGGGGGGGGTGCTATTATTTATTTTATTTTGCTTCTGAATACATGCAGTTGGAGTGATCAGCACAGGTACATGTAGTTGTACATGATTGTACAGTTATCATCATACATGTACATGACATGTACATGACATGTACATGACATGTACATGGCTCCAAAGGCTAATTTTTCAATTTATTTCCCTTCCATATTGACTGTATAGTTCCTTTCAATTGTAATATGAAAATACAGTATACATTGGCATAGAGCATGAAAAGAGCTTCATTTTGATATGCACATCATACTATACAAAATATGGGTTCACATACATTCAAATGGGACTTCGGGTATAAGGACACTTCGCGAATAAGGACACTTTTCTGATGCCCCGCCGAATGTCGTTATTCGCAAAGTTGACTGTATTACTTGTCACGGGAAAGGTATACATTTGTGAAGCTACCTCCGACAAGTTTATCCAGCCCCTGGCCGGCAGTGGTGCTGTTTAAAATAACTGTGTTACAAGACTCGCTATGGCACCACATAAAATATTTTAATATACCGTGCCCCATTGCCGTGTCTGCTCCAATACACAGCTTAGCCCAAATGCATCATTATTAATTTTGCCATACTCACCTCACTGGGTCCGTGGTCTGTTGCATTGCACAACGCCGTGACATGCAATACGAGTCGCATGTCGTCGCACGTGTGCGAGTTGTACACGTTCAGCTCCACAGAGATGCGGTTAACCTGGATGAACTCCACTACGGTGCGTACCGACACGTTGGCGGATGAGTTCTGGCACGGGCCGACGAAGCTGCAGGGGCGGTTTTCCGGCGGCGGCGTTAGCACGTTGCTGGCCGGGTAGTTCCCGTTGATGGTGGCCAGCGTACGCCGATAGAGCCGTGCAAGACTGTCAGCTGTAGACCGATGGTACAGGTCACCCAGCCATTCGACGTCGGGATTTGACTGGCGAGAGCTCGGGTAGCGATGCATATCACCGGGCCAGCTAGGCAGATGTACGTCCGGCGGTATCAAGTACCATTCACGCGGAAGAGCGTACTTACCAAGCTTCGCCGAATAGTACTCAAAGAAGTTAAACCTACAGGTACGCACAGCATAGAGATTACGAGCAGTTGGTCAACATAGAATGCGATTTCCACGCGTGTATCAAGAGTCCATGTGGAGAGTGTGACCACTAGCTGTTATAGGCTCTCTAACAACAAATCTGGGCTGTGAACTGTACAGAGATATCTGTACTACACAACGAATAAAATTGATAGCAGCTGTTATTTAATAACACCTGCTATCATAGCACAAGAAACTGTACTTTCACCATCGCGTGACATCCGTTCACCAGCGGAGGCTAGAACAGACATGAATGGGCTACTGCATACCGGCCATTCCAAAACACTATACTCACGTAGGTATTGCCCGGGATGTGAGCGGCAGCGGGAACGAGAAGTTGAAAAAGTACGTCTCTCCAATAGTGTGCTGCTTGGACGTCAGTGAGGCGATTTGATAGTCTATTGAGTACTGGGCCCAGAAATCGGCCCAGTTCTGTGTGCAAACACGTAAATGAGGTAAGTGGGGAGTACACAACATATTAGTCACGTGGTGGTGGAAATGGAAGGATTCTTGCAGTGACTGGTTTGTGACGAGCGGCCATATGTTAAACTACTTCAGCCCCCCCCCCTCCCCCGAATCGGTCCGGTTGGTCAAGTCATCACCGGACCAACTTGTTGTGGCCATCAACGCATGTTTACTGCGGAGAAAGCTATGTATACCCACTATCATACACAAACTGTATAACAGATTATGGTATGACTGGACCAATCTAAAACTGCTTCCGGCTGTCCTGTACTTCCCTGGCTCTCTACCATGTTGAGAGATTGCTAGCCCTGCATTTCAAAGGTTGCAGTTGCTGAGCAGTGTCTCACCTGAGCAGTATCTAACCTGAGCAGTACCTAACCTGAGCAGTATCTAACCTGAGCAGTATCTAACCTGAGCTGTACCGTGCACTAACCTGTACTTTGCCTCCTGCTGCGGATGACGAGTCGATTGGCTCGTTGGCAAAACCTCCGATGGTGATGACACTTGCCTGCTTGCCCAGCTGCAGCTTGGTAACAAACTGGCTGCAAGCACTGGCACAGCGGCCGTCCGTGATGATGGAGATGTTGTGGAATGGCGAAGTTGGTGGATTGCTGCCCTGCGTGACCTGAAAACATAACGAACAAAGAGATGAAAGAGCCCAGAAACATAAACACATTGCTTCTAGAGGTGGCAGGGTATGGTGGTGTCCTTTCTAGAGAAGCGGAGCAGAAAGAAGGAACACACCTTTCCACCAAGCCTACTCCAAGTACAAAGAAAAAGACACAGGACTAAAATTTGTTAACACCGTGCATGTCTGTACTCTGGAAGTTTGTATGTCAGCATGTGTTGATATCATTCTTATCTGAACGCATCGATTTGTGACTATTAATCGTGTATAGTGGTCACAACATTGTCCTGGTGGTATCTTCTTCTTACGGTCTGGTTCGGAACAGTGTTTCTTCGTCACGGTGACCATGGCTGGGTATCGCATGAATCACACTTTATTGGTTAGAAAAGTACTTCAAAGTATAAATAAATAAACAGCATAGAAAGAACTCAATTGTGACTCTGAGCTTCCCGTTTTTCATGACGATCATCAAGACCTGCCTTGTACTATCAACGAGTGCTCTTCGGCCAGTGGTCCAGTGGAGCAATCTACTTGCTTACGGATGCACAGTAAAACCTGGTGTACTTGAAGCGGCCTCTGGTTTTAGCGACCACCTGCTTTTAACGACCGTTTTTCCATGCACAGGGACAATTCTACACAGAAACTGCACTGAATACAGCGATCACGTGCCTGGCGCGACCAGCGGCCGACTTTTAGTGTACCAAGTGCCATATTGGACCTGCACACAGCGACCAAAACCAGCCAAAAGTGCCATCTTGACTGGCAGAGCCGACTGCAATAGGGTTGAAGTGCGCTCTGAAGCAAGTGCATGCAGTCAAGTGTGTGATTGCTCTGGTAGACCACTATCCCATGTACTGAACAGTTGCTTTGTGAGTGAAATGTATTCTATGCTCCCCACCTGTCAATATGAGTACATGGAAGTACAATCATGCACCTGTATACACACGATCCGAAATGCCACGAATGTATGGGACCTGGTTCTAAAGACCACCTGGCCTTAATGACCGCTTTTGCTTGCACCGTGGGGTGGTCGCTTAAACCAGGTTTTACTGTAACAAAATTTCATGGTTAGCATGAAACTCGGCCAGACCCGAGTTTTCCGCATCCGTGCGAACGCCACCACCCTTCAAGGATCAAGGCGCACATGCAGCTCCTAAAGCAGTGGGAGGTGAGTGGATCAGGCCCCCCACCAAAGTGGTTAGATCGAAAATCCAATTTGCAGTATCCTTGCTTTCCATGTTACCTAAATAAGTACCGTAAATAATAAATACAGTACAATAATTCTTTGAAACCTCAGTATTAAACACATCTACAATGGCTGGATGGCTTTTAAGGGCAAGAGTCTGCACGTCACAGTAGCTGTACACATTCTTCATGTTTGAGCATAGCAACTAGCTAAGATGCTGCTTCAGTATCTTACCAAACTGTCCTCAGTCAACAAACAGTGCGGCTAGGTTCAAATTGTCTTCAGACCCGCACAGTATGATTGTGTGTAAGCACAGGGAACTTACCCTCTCACACTCCGTCAGGTAGAATTTCTGCGTATACTCGCTGGTGATTCCTGCTCGGGTTTGCCGTACTGGCTGGTCGTAGTAGGCCCGCTTGGGAACGAACGATTCTCCAAACGGCTTTGTGTTCTTGACATCGCTGAGCAGAATGTCAGGATGGGCTTTGTGAAAGGTAGAATCCGGAGAGAGAAGGCTATCCAGTACTGACTTCAAGAATCTGGATCTTGATTCACCGCTTGCTGATGCCAATAGATAGGGACTGCCGAAGAGCTCTTCGAGGTTAACTAGGGGTGTTTGATAGATGTAGCCAGCATAGCTGCTCAGGTTTGCAATGCGCTGTGCCAGGAATAGGCCTTCGCTGTACGACACCTCCGCCGGTACACTGTTCGGGAGGGTGTTTAGCGCCTGGGAGAGTAGGTCCCAGAACGTGGCGCTCTTGAAGTCAAACGGGTCACACAGGTAGTTGAGGGTGTACCAGCTTGGGACTAGAAAACGGATGATTTCATATTGCTGCAATTCCGATAAGAAACAGAGGAAGAAAAAGAACCGATAGAAATAATGTGTACGCACTCATACCACGACACCTGATGAACAATAAGTACGGATTATAATGTGACTTTTATCAGAAATATTCATCACATTGAGAGTTAGACTACAAAGCAACTATTTTATGGTACAATCAAGTGAATAAATATTGGACCTAAAACTAATACGAGAAACACTGGTATCCAAGCAATAGCACTATAGAAGGCGTGGTTACAAAGCGAGCAGTGTTAGAGCATGTGTGGAGTGGAGAGCGGGTGCAAATGAGAAAGTTACACGTATGTGAGTGAGTATGTGGGTGTTGGTATGTTAAGTAAAGAGGGTGAGTGCTGTAACAAATTCTTTCTGTCTGCATAAATCTAGGTTGCGAGTGTTGTAGTACATTATTTTCGTGTACGTCGTGTGTACGTGGTGTTGGTGCATGCGCGTGTTGCTGTGGTGTGAAAAGCAGTCTTTGTCTTGAGTTCGTCATGTCTAGTTGCGTTTCCATAGTCGTCTTGCAATAAACTGTCTTTCAAATGTAGTTATCGTCGTCCCTTTGTATACGTGTGGAGATGGCACGGGACTGGGAGCAGGTGGAGAAAAGTTAGTTACAACACGAGTACGAATAAACAAACCATTTTACTTGACATAGATCCTTTTTTATGGAGGGGAACCGGCCTCAACATGACATACCTGCTTCACGTATCCGCCGGGATTTCCCGTCAGGTCAAAGACCAGCTTGCTGAGACGATGTCGTTTAGCATGATCAGCAGCGTCATAGAGCTTCTGCAATGCTTCGGGATCGGAGAAGCTTTCCATCTTGAACACAACTGTGTCATCTACCTGGAAGACGTGAATGTTGCCAGAAGTGCTCGAAAACAGGTCATTGTGCGTTCCTGAAAGCAGGCAAATGGGGACACAGAGACAATATAGTATAATACCAGCAGCATTTGGCGTTTTATATATAAAAAAAAAACTTTTACCTAGGTAGCCCAACTCCGTTGATGACACAAGAAAGACATCATGGTAGGTGAGGATGAACAGTGTCCAGTGTCCAGGTTCCTCTCATTCTGCAATCATATATCAAACCTTATGTCAGTCAGTTCACTGTGACGTACCTTCATGATCAGCTCTCGCCGTGCCCATATACGGGTCATCATTCTTGGGTGTCTGGCCACCCGACGGTATCGCACGTGAGTGACGTGCCGTAGCTCGGTCCCTGAGCCTGTGCATGACATCTTGGACTATGTCCGATACGGAGCGCCGCCGCCTGCGTTCAGTTTGCCCGGACGGCTCACCCTCTCCTGTCAAGATGTGCTCATAGACCGGGTAGTAGCCTGTGTAATCAATGCGATGGTCAAACTGCTGTCGCAAGTTAGGGACGCGGTACAGTGGGTCCCTGGCGGCCGGATCCGTCATGGGATACGTGACCAGGTAGTGGATAACAACCGACGTCCCATCCGACATGGTCAGCGTGATCGTGTCACTGGCTGGAAGTGGATGACGGGACATGTCTGAAAATGCAACACACAGGATTGCATTCAAACAACAGAACACCGGATTGCAGCCGGGTCAACAATTACATACAGGAATGCAGCCGGAACAAGAAAATGTAGTGCGCCACAGGGCCATAATCCAAACGCATGCCTGCATTGCCTTGAACATTTCTAGACTGCAGTACTTGCACTCTCAATAACTGCTTCTCAGTATCTCTACGACTGAGCACTGTGTATTTTTGGTTTTGACATCTAACACAGCCGACCCAGCGCGGGCATACGCATGGACACAGAGAAGAACGGGGGGGGGGGGGGGGGGGGGAGGGAGAGAAAACATGTGTTGGTGCTTGGGTACCCCTCTCAACCATTGACATAGTGCTCAGACTATGAAACACTATCTCCTTCAAACTCAAAAAGAATACCAGCAAAAACATTCAGGTACAGTACTGTCAGGCTCCGAACAATGGCCAGGCTAGAGTTTCGCCAATTTTTACGAACGGTGTTGGCTGGATTTTTGAAGACAAGAACGGAAACTGTAGTATACACTACAATGTACACTCAGACGTATAACTTTGCACAAATGTACATGTAAGACTGTACCATTGAATAAGAACGAACTGCTGTGTTCGCTAAAAATAGGAACGAGCTAGGCTAGAATCCTGACAGTACTGTATTAATTAAAAAACAGTCTGGAGGTGATAGCTTACCCAGGCTGCGAGTGGCCATGAAGGAGTTGAGCCGCACCGAGCTGCTCTTGAAATCCGGCCAGCTTTGGGCCCATTCCTGGACATGATCAGCCGAGTCAAGTGAGTTGATAACTAGCATGTACTTGATGTTCGGTTTATGTGCATTACAGCTCAGCACATGCTCCGGCCGGTTGACAATATCTCACTACAATCAAACACATGTGATGATCATGCCAAACTGTAGGGGTGTGGATCGGGGTGCATAACATTACACAGTGGCCCCTGGCTAGTCTATGCCCTACATGCCTGATATACACACACAGCAGGTCTGCATTGTTTGCTGGCAATATTGATCGAGTCCCGGATATACTAATGAGTCAGATGGCCCACACACCCTGAGCTAAGACAAAGTCCTCCTAGTGGACTGGTGAGGACTGGGATGTGTTCACAATGTCTTTAGTCATCGCTTTCAATGAAATCATGAGCAGTGATCTGGCATTGCACACCCGCACAGAGCGTGCAACCATGATCTCTTGAAATTTCCTGTCATTTGCCCTCCACGTGCATGGTAGTAGGAGAGCTTAGTGTGCTCATAACACAACCTAGACAAGAATTATGTGAGCACCGGGGAGCATGAGCGGATGGCTGTATGGCGTGATTGATATCTAGTGAGTCCATCTGTTAATGAGTTATCTTAATGTCTGTGGTGCCACCTTTGCACCATGGCCGGTAGCTCGGCTAACTTAAAGCTCGTAGCTGTATCGATGGGGCCTAGATAGCCGAAACAGCTTGCTGTCTACTGCATTGGTATCTAGTGAGTCAATCTACATGTGCAGTCACTCACTCGTAGCACTTGCATGGCCGGCCTCTCGTCAATCATCATGATCTCCTTGCCTTCAAGGCTGAAGAGACCTGGTGTCGGAGCGCCGTAGATTGTATTGTGCAGATGAGCAAGGCGTCCGTCCACTTCACTCACAACGACAATCTGCTTCCCGCTGTCCAGCAGCAGCTTCGTATTGAACCAGACTGGCAAGTAGATCCTCAGTGGGGTAAACGGTGCACTGTATGTGGTGTGCGCGTCCTTCAGCTCGTTGAACAGCAGCATCAGATCGCTGTGAAAGCTGAACATATCTTTGTACGGCTTCAGCTCCATGGCCGTGAGGCGTGCATCCATGTCCACGCTGATGTTGTACTGGTCAAATGAGAACCGCCTTGATAGCTGGCTGTCTGGGTTGGCAGCTTTCGAGCTGTCCACGACCAAATCTTTGTACGAGTACATGTTGACCAGGCTGCGATAGAAACATACATACGTACAAGCTCAATCTGTGGACAGAACTGTTTCCGTCCTTTTCGGACTCATCAGCGTAGCACAGAGAAAAAGAGGCACATACATACAAATGTACGCATGAAAACAGAAAATCTGATAGTCCCACATCGATACATCCAACATGCTCTTAAGTTAATAAGATACCAGCATATCAATATATCATCACATATGACAGATACCTGGTGGTAACAGTTATCTGACCCTGGCTACCACTTTGCAAAATTCCTGATCAATGCATATCACTGCTTGACCATGGTAGCAATACATGAAGTTTGCAGCATGTCCAACCTGCAATCTATTCCCGTATGTGAGCACTTTGCTTGCTACCTGCTGATCGTCACCAGTAGCAAAACAAGTGCACCTCTCTCATGCAATTTAACGCCTTGCGTTATACTCAACAACAGACCTGCTTCTATTATGCTGAAGTGCTAACCTCGGGAGCACACCGATACTACAATGGTCAAATGAACGTTGAGATATACAAGGTAGATGTCTGGATTTTGTGACAAATAATCTGGGTGCGGCTTATACTCCAGTGCAACTTGGTAAGATTTAACCTTTTTGGCATAATTTTCTGTGATGGTGCCTGATCACACTTCTTGCCATACCTGTTTTTCATGATCTCCAGTGTGAAGATCTGCTCTCCCTTGCCGAGTGGGATGTCGCTGAGACAGGTCTTAATCCAGGACGGCGGCGCAATGGCGACCACGGTCTGGTTTAGGTTGAACAATGGCAGATCCCTACCGATGCACACTACAAGGATGCACAGCGTCACAGACATGTAAGTTAGACAGGGGTACAGACATGCCTATGGCAGCACCGTGCGCGCGCTGAAAGCGATTCAGAATCCCTGTCATACTGGAGACACCGTTATCCTAATGGAGTGTGCATTTATTATGCAATGTCTTGCTGACCGTCTGACGGATAATTATATGAGAAATGATGCTTGCTCCTTGGTACTGGTGCCAACTAGTTACCACCTAGGTATTGCTATTTTGCAGTGCATTCTACTTTCATAGCTGATTTCTCCTCGCCATTACACTCAATATTTAGCTCCTCGTTGTATACTAGGCGTCTACAGGAATAAGCACTGTGATCACCATACAATACATAATATATGTACATGTATGGCCACAGTATCAAACCAAGCCACTGTAGTACAAGAATATACTGCATGCTAAACATGCTGTCACTCTAGCATTTGCTCTTGTTCTCTGGAACCCTGATGGCCCTAGGGCTACTGGCTAATGATGATCACTACTTGCCAAGACAATACCATTAATTTCCCCACTCCGCAAATCAACGCTCGCTTACCATCATCGTCTATAGTTGACAGTTGAGGTGAGTGAGACGGCGGAGCGAAGGGTGCATGAGAACAGAAAGCAGAGAGCAGAAGTCAATGCAGTCGACTTGAATATGCAGAGCACGCACTGTCATAGACAGAAAGGCAAAAGGCATCACTGCCTGAAACCCTGTCTCGATCCTACTGGAAAATCATTTACATTTACATGTACTATGAAGTACAACCACAAATGCAACCCAATTCTGGTTGGGCGAAAAAAGATGCATGATTGTTCAGTTGTTTGATATCAATATCATGAAGTACTTCAGACATGGGTGTCCTGATTTCCAATTGCATTTTTATCCCAATCGGGAACTCAATGATGAAGAAAAATGTGTCCGGATGTGGAGGTGTGCCATTCTTTGATGTGCGTACACTAGGGCTCATGGCTCTACTCTACATATACTCGTACATACAGCACGCGGTCACTGTACCGGGGGGGGGGGGGCAAACCTCCTTGGATAAGGACAATGCCAAGTTCCCAAGGATACAGGTACGGTAAATGCCACCATACGAGGACTCCCCAGATCCGGGCACAACCATTGGCCTAAAGTCACAAAATGTCATCGTGTTTTAGAATTAAGAACAGCACCAAAATGTTGATTGGAAAAAAATGTTAACCTGCATGCAAACAGTGCTGATGCTGTGGGTAACTGGCAATACAAGTAGTTCCATGCCATTTCCAGTCCCAAATGCTTGGTTACGGGGAGTTCTATAGTAATGATACCAGCCCTGTAAATAGTCATGTACTTGGTATTTGTAACATGGAAATTGTGGGCACAAGTTATGCGATCGAGTCCACCAACTAAACCAGATTTTGAACTGTCGGACGTGCACAATCTAGCACAAAACTGACAGTTGTGCCCACAATTTCCATGTTACAATTTTTTTCCTTGGCTCGCCATCTGAGTTCTTAGTACTTGGTAGTGCACATCCATAGCACAACAAGTCACAAGCACAGATACGTGTGAGGCAGCCATGTATGGTAGATATGCATCCAAAGTCAAAAACGAATGCCTATTAAAGCGGGAATAGACAAACCAGAACTCACCACAGGAAACGGCATCGGATCCATCGGAGCACAGAGCGGTCGTGTTCAGACAGACCATGCTCCTTGGCACGCATTCCGATATGTTACTTGTGCAAGTGAACTGTATGCCAGTATCACACACTGCACAAGATATACACGCGTTAAATCACAACAATCGTGAAGCAAAAACAACAAAAAACACGCTTTGACTCCACTGCATAGGGATAGGTGTGGATGAATATAGATCTCTGAAAAGGTGCGAGTCCACATGCATACATTAGATACACTGTATGATCACATCCGGATACCTCAACTCAAACACTCAAAACACAGTCTCTTTACTGCACACATCACTTGAACTGTTCTGAGGTAGAATCTACCCTAATGTTTAATGGCTGCAGTGGAGTCTGTGAGTACTTAGAAAAGTTTATACTGCAAATCATGATTGAACAAAAAAATATTTCGGAGACAACTACTCAATCGCACTTAGGCAGAGAACAAACTGAGTTAAGTTACAATCAACAATTTCTAAAGGTTTTCCATAAGGCCAAACTGAAGAAGGTGTGTGGTTCGACTAACATGGACATTTTTTTTACGGGCGGGCGGGCGGTTTTTTTTTATATATATATTTTTAGTACTATTTTTTAGTACATGTAAATACACTGTACTGCCTTTAGACACCCAGTACATCGGCATTATTACGCAGTGTTATGCCATACATGTTGTATAAAGGGATCACTGGCTAATACTTTGAAACATTGTGTGGCAGAAAACGAGGAAAGTGCAATCTCGTCTGTCCTTCATCCCAAAACAGAAGGCCGTCCTTAATCTGGAACGAGGCAATCACTCTCAACCGGACGGTCACTTCAAAATAAGTCTCGCCAGTCTGCCGGTGGTCGTATCGAGTAGACTCTACTACCAGCACAAGGCAGCAGTCGTACCACTCACTGCACTGCACTGCAGTACAACTACAAGTCAAGTCCAAAAGGAGCCGCCTGCGTCCGCAGACTCACGCTGCACAGCACGTAGACGTGGACGTGTTCAGTCCTCGTACGTCAGTCACACGACAGCCCGCCTAAAAAAAAGTTACGGTCGGGCTGAAAAATGTACGGTCGGTCGGGTGAGTCGAACCACAGACCTTTTTCAGTATGGCCTAAGTATACATTTTTGGCCTGTACTCCACCTGCTGAGAAGGCATCATAGTATACTTGTGGCAAACACTTTCGAAAGTGTTGCTTGTGAAGAGGCTGAAGTTTGCTGTCTTCCTAAATATACTACACACAGTACTAAGAGTACAGGGACATGTTTTAATATGTACTCTTGATACTACCAACATTATCATGGATAATAAACTCTTGATTTACAGTTGTACATTGTGGTCTTCAAAGTTTACCGCCCACCACACAAACACAAAACGTTCGAAGGCAGAGATGTGAACTCATTGGACACATACATGTACAGCCCCCCCCCCCCCCCGCACTCTGCACATGCATTGCACCCACTTGGGGTTGTCCACTCACCGCATGACTCCTCGTCGCTGCCATCACTGCAGTCTACCTTGCCGTCGCAATGCTTGTGCGGTGACAGGCACTGGCCATTGTTGTGGCATTCAAACATGCCCACTCCACAACCTGGTGAAGGAGGTTACAGGCACAACAGCACAGTGGTCAACTGTCAATTTTGGGCCAAAACAGCATTCACAACTATACCGTGATGAATGGTTACGAATGGATGAAAACTCAGTCCCATTGCTAACACCGGATTCGCTGTACGCAACCCTGCTATGGGTACACATATCTGATGGGCACTGTGGACTGTGTGCCACTATAACCTATTGGACCTTGTTATGTGCTGTGAAACTCTGCTAAATAAAATAGAGTGTACTTTTGATAGTCACCCAACTTTAAGTGATGGCATTGTGACTGAGGGAAAACACTGGAATAGTAGCATCGGCGACAAACTCAGGTAGCAATGAAATTCGTACAAGAATTTGGTTGTAGAGCTTTACGAAATCAAAACGGCTCCGAAATAAAATTGCGGTACAGTATAACGTTATGATTATGTGCACACTGGGCGAGACTGCCCACATCTTGTCACTGCCTCATGCCTTCAGAATCTCTGGCACACATGGTATCCTGTACTTGGTAGGCTCAGAGAGATCAAGTGGGTTTTGATTCTGCAAATACGATGCACATAACTTCTCCAAGTGGCCAAGTGCTTTCATGTACCACCTGCTTTGAAGGACCACCTGCTTTGAAGGAGCATATCCTTTGAAGGACCACCTGCTTTGAAGGACCTACTGTGACACTGACCGTGTGTAATATGCAGGATCACACTGATATCAAATGCCACCTGAATTCAAAGACTATGACAGGCCAGTTCCACAGGCAGGCATTGACACCAGCCAGGGCTATCTGTACCGGTAGTTTGAAATCACACATCTGCTAATCTAGACATGCACTCAGTGTCTGCTCTAGGATTGTAGGACAGCCGGGTACACGTGTACCTGGCGCAACCATTTCAACCGGGTCGTAGCCGGGTACACATGTACATGTACCTGGCGCTGTCTCATTTAGAAAAGAGAGGACAGGAATTAGAAAATTACGAAAGAAGAAGTATTTGACACATACAAGCCATGTAGTCAGTCCTTTCAAAGTTCGAAAGTGTAAAGTACCAACCGTGTCACAGGTGACCCGGTACTATATTTTCAACCGGGTCCAAGCGCCGCCCAACCGGGTGGATTACCCGGCTCACCCGGCGCTGGAGCAGACACTGGCACTAGTTTGACACACAACCACAGCTTGCAAAACGTGCATAAACAGTTTACTGACACAATTTCATAATCATGCCAGCACTACATGCACTGGCCTTGCAGTACTGTCGGGCGCCGAAGAATGGACCGCCGAAGAATGGACCGCCGAAGAATGGACCGCCGAAGAATGGACCGCCGAAGAACGACCAGGCTAGAATTTCACAATTGTTTAAGAATGGTGTAGGCTGGATTTGTTGCAGATAAGAACGGAAACCATAGTGTACGCTATAATGTACACTCAGACGTATAACTCGGCGTAAATGTATGTGTACCATCGGACATGAACGAAACTGCTGTGTTCGCTAAACATAAGAATGTGCTAGGCTAGCACCCTGCCCCCCCCCCCGCCCCAGTTCTTCGGCGCCTGACAGTACTGTGCTATTGGTATATCCTTACCGGGTACAAAGTCATAAGTCAATGTGAATCCAGACTTCTCAACCAGGTAGTCGGAGTGAAACACGATTCCCAGAGTGTTTCCAGACGAGGTAATGGATGCATTGACGAGGGAGTTGCCACAAAACCGGCTCATCGTCGGAACATCGGCCAGGGAGGCCTCCGGTAGGGATTCTGTAAAGCTGTAGAAACTGGGTGGAAGACCCGGGGATGGCCGGTAATTTGTAAACACAAGGTAATCATTTTGACACTGCGGTGACTCTTCCAGGTCAATGGTCTCGACATTCACACGCACGCGCATGCCCTCAGGTGCACGTATTCGCCAGGTACATTCAGCGTTTTTGATGTAGATCAGGCGGAAGTCCGGCGTGAGTCTGAGAGGTGAGGTGATCGAGCCCGGCGTGGTGAGTTCTTCTCCAGCAAGGCATCTCGGAACAGCTAGCAACAACAACAACAATGCACACACCAACCAGCAACTGGACAATGATATAATACTCTCTTCTTACTGTCTGTTGAGCGCAATGCATACACGGTGCATGTGTGAAGTCACTTGGCTGGCAAACTATACGCCATACATGCACATAGGCGATGCTTCATGAGGGGTGAACACAAAGCAGTTGAATATTCCTAATCTCGGTCGTGTCGTGGGTTTGAGTTTACCTGTGTACATTCCTACAAAGCCACGTCCAGTGCCGGAGTTTCTGGGTCCCATTGCAGCTAGCTGTAGAGTCAGGTATGGCCCGGTGGTGGCGATGATCTCGTGCTGGAACGAGTCCGTGTCCGGCGACAACTGGTGGAACGTGTAGAGCTTCTTGGAGGAAATGAGCGGACCGTCATACAGGGTGATCGAATCCATGTTGGTCAAGCGCAGTGCATAGCGCAGGTTCAGTCTGATGATGTGATGCGGTGATGCAGCCACCGTCCACGTGCAGTTTGTCATTGTGTGATAGTGGAGCAGCGAGAGAACCCCCTCGTTTTGCTCCGTGCGAAACTCGCAGAAGGGCAGCGGCTTGAAAGTCGGCGGAAGGACTGGTACTGTATCCAAAACACAAATAGAGCATATCACTGCTTCACTTACTAGGCTTTTACCTGCGATGACAGTGCGTCGGCTCGGTATTGCAATTCACAAGAAACCAGCTACCTGTTTTAAAGCACCCGCCCCTCTCGCAATCGCATTCATTGCTTTGGAACTTGATATGCTTCTCAAGTACTTCATGAGCTGCATTCCGCACCGGGCACCCTGCCAAGATAGCTGCATAAGTATTATAGATTCTGTGCATCAATTAAAATGACTGTGCAGTGATTTGGACATGCGTCAGAGCCTGTCCAGCTAGTGTCGAGTATTTGTACTGCACTCAGTGCGTGAATGGATTTTTCACTGTTCTGCCGAAACGCAAAGCCAAAAGCGCTAGGCACAAAGTACTATCTTACCGACACCAAGGCAGGGCATGACTTTGAACGCGAGCAGCAGGGTGAGGGCCACCAGGGCCGGACTTCTCCTATTGGACATAGCTGCAGCAGAACCTGCCCTCTGACACTAGTATTTCTATTGGGCAAATAATTGTTGTATGGCCAGGCCAGGTAGAAGTTGGCTCATCGCTACGGTAGCTGGTCTAGCACTGTAACGATCCTCTGCATGACAGACCGATCCGCTGGCTTGAGCTCTAGCTCCTTCGAACGTCGCTCATGAGGATTGGCTTTGCGGCTTCCGAAGTCAAGGAATTTTCACCGTCAAATGAAACCCGCTACGCATTGGCAGCATGGCAATGACTTGGACTGTTGTTGCTACAGACTACGGTAGTAGTCCATGGTAGTCTGTGTGGCGTGGAGCTGCAGGTACCATCCCGGTCGTCGCAGCACACAGAGGAAAAAATGACACTTGAATTGACAGCACAGCAGACACACATGGCATAACTGTTACTTCAACTAGTATTGTATAGACTCTACACGAAACATTGCTGCTCACCATGCCAGTACACAGTCAGGAGACCCCCTCTACAAAAAACGTCATCATTGCATTTGTGGAGTCTACATCCTGGCTATGCCTATCATAGTATTATGCTTAGGCTATGGATTCTACTCCTACGAAGGATAACAAATAGCCATTGGCGGACTATGCTCGCCAATCGTCAAATTATGCTTTTGATTATGCCACAATTATGCCAACAAATATGCTGAATTATGCTCGGTTCCACTATGTATTCACGCTGTACATAGAGGATTGAGAAACCACGCATGCACACACGGCCATGCCCTAAGCATAATTTTTGTCTAAACCGAAAGATTATGCCGACCTTACACGTTGGAATCCGTATATTATGCCGGAGCATTATTTTTTTGTCGAAATCCCAAGATTATGCCAAATATTATGCCGGCATAATCCGCCAAGGGCTATGACAAGGAGTCGTAACTTGGGTATTCAAAAAAACATCTGCAGGCTTTCTGACAAAGCTGTATTATGCCCCTAAGCATAATTTTGTCTAAACCGAAAGATTATGCCGACCTTACACGTTGGAATCCGTATAATTATGCCGGAGCATTATTTTTTGTCGAAATCCCAAGATTATGCCAAATATTATGCCGGCATAATCCGCCAAGGGCTATGACAAGGAGTCGTAACTTGGGTATTCAAAAAAACATCTGCAGGCTTTCTGACAAAGCTGTATTATGCCCCTATTAAAGCATAATTTTTGTCTAAACCGAAAGATTATTATGCCGACCTTACACGTTGGAATCCGTATATTATGCCGGAGCATAATTTTTTGACGAAATCCCAAGATCATGCCAAATATTATGCCGGCATAATCCACCAAAGGCTAATAACAAAAGCTGTTTAGCTGTGACCATGATCATGATGATGACAGTGGTGCGTGGTGGCTGGTTGGTTCGTTGGTTGGTTCACACTAGGCATACATGTATGTGGATAATGGCGGCAGAACAATTGGCAGAATTCGGTACTTTTTCTGGTAAGTTTCATGCATGTTTGGTATGTGGATAAAGAAATGGAGCAGAATTCGAGGAATTGCCCGCCATAAGGTTTGTATGGTTCTGCCAATTTCACTGCTTTTCGAGCAGAATCTGCCACCGTTTCGAGCATTATCCGCACACCCGTAGTTCACACAATAAACGAGATATAGGCCCAATGATATACATCATGCACATGTAAAGGCGAATCATGACAAGCTGCATTTAGTCTTTTTACTTTTAGAAAAGAAAGGACAGGAATCATACGGTGACTCAGAGATTCCACGAAGTAAAACGCAATGGCCCATAGCATCAGACAGCACTGAAAGACTGCATGTAAAAATAGTAGCATGCCATACGAAGTTACGAACACATTATGATAGTGTTCAATATAAAATGGGCAACGGTCCTGGATTGTGGTTTTTTATTGCAGTCTTAAGTTATCATGCTTATGAAGTTATGGCGAAAGAATTTTTGCTTTCACCGTCCATAACGTGGTAGATCTGCCATCATGAACTACCATCTCACGCTGCCACCTTGGATACATGTAAGGCATGGTGGTGGCCTGGCACAAGCGAAACTAAAGTTAGATTCATGATGAGGCACTAACCGTAGTAACTGGAAACATCAGTAGTTAGCTTTGATGCTTTTGAAGGATATGGGGTCAATCGGGCACAGCTAGCAGCTGTACCTGGCACCACGTTCTGAACGTTCTGAACGTTCTGAACCTGGTCATCCACCCTGATTTGGACAAGTTTAGCTGAATCCTCAGTCATCATACGGACCAACTGAACCTTTGTGGGCTTAGGCTTTTATCCCCCCTCCCCCCACCACCACCAGACACGGCGGACTACGGTTGCAGTGGACAGTCCACCGAACGTCAAGGTTGGTCGATCAACGTCGCTGCCTGAAGATTGGCTGTCGAAGTAGTGTCGCTCGAGAATGATGTACGATCTGACGCGGTGTTCGGTCATGAACAGTAGCTATGAGCACTTTGAGCAGGGAAGATTTTGTGGTCACAGCCGTGGAATCGTGCACGCTTTTTTGCTGGGATACGGATTCACATCTCTGAGTTGCTGGCTGTTGTTTAGTTTATTCTCAAGAGAAGTGGGAGAGTGACTCTTGGCAAACCTTCAGAGTGAGAGTGTACAGCTATCTGAGCAGCATGAAGCCGGCAGTGTTAGCTTTCTTCTTGGTGACTTTCCTGCTCGGTAGGCACTGTGTGTGTGTGTTGGCCACCCTTGACTCCCTTGTGTCGACAACTGCTATTTTTCAATTTCGCACTTCTTGCGTCTTCAGGAGTGTCCTACACCCAGGGAAAGGATGGTGCAGCAGAGAGTCTGAATGCACGCCGCAAGGTTAGCTGTGTTCATTGTAACACTGTGCTGTATCATGTAGCATCACTTTGCGTTTGCCCGGCGAATGGTGTGCGGGTTGAAAGTTGGGCACTTCCTGCGGTCTTGAGGTTGGAAGATTTGAATTTTCCCAATTCGAAGAATTACTCTCCGGCTGAGTTGGGATGGTTTCTGACATCGAGCCGGCGGATCGCGGAAGTATTCTGAAAACCTATTCCTTTTCTCTTGCTGGCTATACATAGCTGTAGTAGGTGCTACGATGGTATTGGCGGAAATACAGAGCCGATTTCAAATTTCAGGAAATGGCACAGACAGTATTTGGAGCAAATTATTGTTCGTGGAAATCACTGCTTGTTGCATTACGAGTGCTTTGCCACTCTGTCAGATTCAACGAGTGTGAGCACAAGGGAATTAGTGCAAGGATGCATCTTGCCCAAAGCTGATGCATCAATTTGCAAGTGGCCTGATTTTGTTAGCAGGGAATGGTAAAACGCTGGTGTTTGGCCATGGTGGCAATGCTACGTGGCTGTCCAGCTGTGGAAGCCCAGGCCACCCGTGCACTACAGTATTGGTTTGCAGGTGTTCGTCCACATCATCGTCACGCACACTAACTTGTCGGACGCCTGTGCATGCATGTGTGCGCGCGAGTGTATGTGCCAGCGTATTTAGTTGGTGGATACATTTGTGCCAGATAGTGGTTGGGTCTGTTCCCACCAGGCTCAGCTGCTTGAAGTTGTACTGTTGTACTTACCATCTGCATTGGTTTCAGAGTCCGCATGCTATCTACAGCGTAGCTCATATGGGGCACGGGGCGCCCCCCCCCCCCCCCCCCAAAATTTCGACCTAGGTTCAGTATGCACACTGTGGTCATGAATGACATGCACCAGCCATCCTACACATACATTGTATGCAGCCATGCACCCCCTAAAAGTGGGACCAGCTATGCCCCCCCCCCCCCCCCCCTAGAAGTGGGACCAGCTATGCCCCTGATCTATAGTAGACATGCCTGTTGACAGATGGGCTACTTCTGGGCAGGTTAAGAGTTGTGTTATCAATGGTGCTAATGAAGTCTATATCAGTCTCAAATCAGACCATCTCTGTTTAGCAACTCACCCTAGATTTTCTGGGATCCAGGTGGGGGGGGGGGGGGGGGAGGAGTACAGTAGCATGTTTCAACCACCCCCTCTCCCCGGAGCACGCAACTGTCTGCCCCTGGGGAAATCGCGATTCCACAAATGCAAATTCCCCCCCCCCCCCCCCGATTTTTGACGTTTTAGTAACATGAAGACGTTGAAAGTGTGCATGCATCACATGGATGAAGTTAGTGTCACTCAGAAGTTGGCACATGTACGTGGCATGCACCATAATTGATGCTGAGGTGACTGATATCCTGAAGATTGCATGGCGTAAATTTTAGGGGTGAAACGGTTCGGGTAAGGAACCGGTTTTGGAACCGCCAGCTGAAAAGAATCGGGTACCCGTTCCGTCAAATTTCGAACCGAAACTCGAAAAATCTCGTTCTTGTACAAATACATGTACATGTACACGTCAAGTCTACTCAAGATTTTAATTGTCTTACCTTACGATCCCCACTCTTCCAAAGAGTTCTCTGGTCATTATCTTCTTCGCACTTGGACTCTCCGATGTCTCATTCTTGCTCGTAAATATTTTTTCTAAAAAATAATTGTCGCGAACGCATTTTGTCGGTC